CGCTGTCTCACCATCCCGACTCAATGCCTCAGCATGCTCTGCACTTTGACTTAAAGACCTACCGTCTTGTCTCAATGTTCGCCAGTCCCAACTCCCTGCCTCACCAGCCTAAACTCTGTCTCGCCCATCTCAACTCAATGTCTCACCATTCTCCACTCACAGACCCACTGTATCGTCAATGTTCACCAGTCCCGACTCAATGTCCGTTCGTTTCGTCCCAGCTAACGTTTGTAACGGAGCATACCGAGTCAGCGACAGATGTGCCGCAGTGCGCGTGCAGTGCCCGCGGCGACGGCGGTGAGCCGGGCGAGCGGACCGGCTAGCGGGCGGGCGAGTGGGAAGGCGAGCGGCGGGCTAGCGGCGAGGGCGAGCGAGCGGGCGAGTGGGCGAAGAAGCTAGGGACAGCGGTCGAGCGAGCGGTGAGCCGGCTGGCTAGCGGGCGCCGAGGAGGGACGCAGCCGGCACCCAATATCGGTCAAACCGTCAGGCAGAGCGGATGGCGTTGGTAACGGAAGGAGACGTCACGTAAAGTGAAAAGCTCTATAGTGAGGAGAATGGTAAGGTATGGAAGTTAATCGATTTTCATCATCCAAGATCTCAACAAATAACTTATCTCAGTTCACCGTCATATCATCCTCGCAAACCAGTTTCAGGCAGTAGACGGGCTCTTTCAAAGAATCTCAGTCTAGTCAGTGTAACTGATGCGGTCTGTTGACGGTTTCGTCACGCTGCCAAATCTCTGAGCTCATCTCCTTTCCTTCCTGTTACTCCACAATGGCACAATGAAACACAGACTGGCGTCTCAGCTATCTTCATTGTCCACACAGTTCCACAGTTATGGAACACGGGGTTTTAGAGAAACCGTCATGTCTACAATGTTCAACATTGCAGTGGAGTGCCGCTAGCGTCACATATGTCCACATCATCCCACGACAGCGCGGCTGCAGTGGAGCGACTTTGCTAAGCTAGCACTCTGGGTCGCCACAGCACTGTTGCCCGTGTCACCGGCCCGGCCGGGCCTCGCGGTGGCGTAAGGTCAGTGACCCGACCGTCGCAACCCGGTGAGGCAAGGAGCAGAATCTCAGCCAACCACAGCTTATAAAAGTCTCATCCGACCGGCAACCGGTCCGGAACTGGAGGATTAGTTGGGCCCGCTGACAGTTGACCGCTACGGTACCGGCGCTACGGTTATCCATCATGACGCCAGATGAAATGAAATGTCCGGTTTTAACCACGGCACAGGTCACGGTTAAACAGGGTAGATAACACGGTTAACCACCGTAGACGCCATGGTTCAAAATGGTAGACTTTACGATCACGCACGGTAGACACCGGGTCAACCAGGATAAGCGCCGCGGTTGACTGCGGAAGACGGCACAGACTAACTGGTAGATGCTACAGTTAACCAAGGAAAGCGACAGCTTATCCACGCTACGTTGTGGCGGGACTAGCTGATCTAATGATGCTCGAGACTTATAGTTAGACAGCCATGACTCATGGCTAGCATTGCATGGTAATAGATCCGTAGGCGTACTATGGTGGCACAGGCTGTAATTGACTGAAACAGGGAGCTCAAAATTGCTCAGAAAGCATCGAAGCTTACCAAATTGCATCGTTGGTAGTTGGTACTTGACAGGTCATCGTCCTTATTGCTGTTCTCTCATTCCCGCTATAGGTTCTCTGACCTGTAAACGCGCTGGTCCAGCGCTTCCGTTTTCCTTAGCACAGGAGCTGACTTCTCAACAAGTACAACAACATACCGTATAACAAACATATGCATTTATGCAGTATAGGTATGCACTGCGGTAAAATAGGTCAGTGGGTCAGGTTCTAACTGTCTCCATACCTAGCCCAACCATGACCCGTATAGTACTGGCCAATGGATGACAGCCAACCCACTGTAACTCAGTCCCCTGCTTCATCGAGCCCGGGCGCCGCCAACCGCAACCAAGCGTGTGCCGTGGCCGATCGGACCTCCCCGCTTCATCAAAGCAAGTCGGATCGGATGGCGAACCCACCATGACCTCACAGCAACAGTGCACATACTGGTGCATGGTGATTGGTGCACCGGAACGAGGGAGAAGGTGAAATGTGGCTGATGAGATGTTGGGTGTTCAAGGTTAGTTGTACTGTAAGATTTATCTGATCGTGGCCTTATCGATGCAGTCAAAGGAGTTGCACGTTGTGCCGATGCCAGCATATGAAGAGCATATGCAATAAATGTTACTAAATAGTACACACAGGACACGTACTATTCATCGTATTAACCCGCGAGTTGCTGGGGGGGGGGGGGGCGTTAAACGCCCCCACTTTTTTCGCCGGGCCATAGCATAAAAACGGCGCGCCGCAGGCGCGCCAAATTTTTGGGTACCTGTAGGGAATTGATTGAAGTTTATTGTGACAAAGTTTCAAAAAAATCGGTCGGAAAATTTTTGAGATATCGAGGTTTTAGTGACGTCATGATTTCTGAGTTTTCGACCAAAAACGGCATATGTTCAAAAAATCATATAAAATCACAGAATAGACATACAGACATGCCGTAAACGCCATTAGACTGCCAATACCATGGAAAATCTGCCAATGGAGACGCCTGTCTTTCTGGTAAATTTCACTGGAAAATGGCTATCTTCGATTATTGATTATCGTTCCGCATTTTCCAAAATCTTGAACTGAATCTTGGCAATTTCTCGTGACTACTTCACGACCATGATACATGAATTTCTTAAATTGAACTTTTTTAGCCAATCACGTACACATATGATAAAATGAATGTCACCATCGTGTTCTACGCCCCAAATTACCCATAAAACATGCGTCACAGGCTGCGAATATCAGTTTTTATTTTCGGGGATATGTGCCTGCCCGGTTGACCTGACCTTGACCCTGACCTATGCTTGACTGACCCCTGCATGGAGCTGACACTCTTGTAGGCCTTATATGATGGATTGTGCACCGTTTTGACAGAGTTTATGACGAGAGGCGCCCATTGCGAAGTCCTGAAGTCCATGCTACTGAAAGCCCGATTTCAGGTGTTTGACCTGACCTTGACCTGACCTGTGACCTCAAAATTCAACTTTAAAGTACTCATCTGAAGCGTCTCGTCGCGTTCTTTCGTTTGCCGCCTCGTGCGTATCGCTGCGCCTATTGGTTCTCGAGTTATCGGCTGGGGGCGTTTAACGCCCCCCCCCCCCCAGCAAACGGTGGGTGGCGAAATACCCCAGCAACTGCCGGGTTAACACGCGCAGTGGAAGGGGGGCGGATTTCGCCCACCCCTCCTGTTTTTCGCCAATAACTCGCGCCGCAAGCATAATATCAATGTGAAATTTCGGCTACCTGTCCAGAATTGAATTGCGGATCTTCTCGTGCAAGAAGTAAGAAAATCGGTTCACAACTTTTCTAGTAATAGCGGTGTAAAGTCAAACATCCTGCCGCCGCGGCGGCGCGGCGGCGCGACGGCCGGCGCTAGCCGTTACGCGCCGCCTGAATTGTAGACTGTGCCGGAGCGGGACGGTTCCGTCTTTACATCGCGCTCCTTACCGCTGATTATATTAGATTCGCGTCAAATTCGGTGAGAAGACTGAGAAATGTACGGGCAATCATATGGTCAAAGAATTTTGAAAATCGGCCGGTAACAACTTGCGTTATGAGTGTGTAAACACAAAATTGTGATTGCCACGTTTCCCGCGTCGGCCGATGCCGCTTCAGCCGGCGACATCTTATCCTTAGCAGGCTTCTAACTGCCATATTTATTGTTGGATTATCTAGAAATTCACCATACATACTCAAAAATGTTTGCTCTTTCGTATAGTGAAAGATTTAAAAAAATCGGCCGGTAACTTTTTGAGTTATCGGCGTGTAAACGCAAAAAAGTCGCTATTATGGCAGATTTGACCACATTTGACCTCATTTGACCTTGAAGATATTGACCTAGGGTCATGAAATTCACACACAACAGAGATCCCCATGGCCCCCACCTACCCTCCAAATTTCGTCTTTCTAGCTCTAGTGGAAGCTGAGATCTTAGGGGGGGGAGACATCCGCCCCCCCCCCCTTCCACTGGGCGTAGTACTCGCAACCCTTCCACTGCGCGTGTTAATAACAATACATTCTCAATCCATCAGACGTTCATATGCTGTGTTTAAACAAACTGCAGAAGAATAAAGATCGTTAAAAAATTGTTTAGCGGGGGGGGGGGAACAACCTAACAAGCGGGGAGAGAAACAACCTCACATTACGAGCATTGCTGACAACCTTCTAGGCGACACAAATTGAAAAGAGTAGGTATTTATGAAGGAGAATGAACTCTTTGGACACACTGGTGATTGGGGATTCCAATAGTGGCACACAATCGGTCATGCTCAATGCTCAAGCGTACGACCGGTAAGACTCATGCTCAGTGTACTGTATCATATGCCCGATGTTCGGTGCAAAGTCATGATGACTGCGGTGAGCCATCCCGGCCGGGTTCCATTAGAGAGCTGAGTGTGTGAAGTTAGACGGCCCGGCCAGTGTCGACTCTCATTACCCGCTATACGGTCAGGTGGTATTAGGGTCAAGAAACGGCCGCCGCCAGCGAGGAGGGAACAAGGGTCTCTCATCGGTGGAAGCGCATGGGAAGGGAGAGAATCAATCCATCGCCAGGAAAGGTGGGAAGGGTCGAATCTCAGCAGCCACGTCGGGAAGAGACGGGTTTCAAATGTAGAATGTGGACCAAGAGCTGTATCTCAATAAATTGGGCATTACATTGAGCGAGAGTGACACTTGACAGTCGTCTTTCTTCCAGCGGAGGGATAAAGGGAGAGAGAGAGAGAGAGAGAGAGAGAGAGAGAGAGAGAGAGAGAGAGAGAGAGAGAGAGAGAGAGAGAGAGAGAGAGAGAGAGAGAGAGAGAGGTGTTTCAGCGGAAGCCGTAACCAGTTCCCAAATGTGACGATACTGCTCGCTTTGCTGCCAAGAAGATCTGTAAAATACACAGCTGACTCAACCCTTTCTCTGTCCTCAGGCGACTCTTCTCGCGTCGCCGGGCTCCAGATGAGTCCGCCCCGACACCTTCGAATGGTTTGCCACCACATCCGGCGACGTGCCAACGTCCTGCTGCCAGCGCTGCTGATCTCCTTCCTGCTGCTGGTGCTGCTGCAGGACCATGACTTCCAGCAGCCGTCGATGCCACACTCACAACAGTGGAAAGCACGTCAACCGGCAGCTGCTGTCCGCGATGCCGCTGCGCGAGCGGCGGTGAAAGACAGACAGGTGGAACCCGACTGGGTGGGTAGCTCGGATTCGGCGCCTGTTGGCCCATCGACTGGTCAACGGTCTTCGGGGGAAGAAGATACGACCGGGGAGAAGCGAAGTTATGTCTCTGGTACACGGTTTGTGGACTTCGACCCGACGGCGGCCGAATCAGAGCGAGCGCAAAAAGCATCGAAGTCACAAGCAAAACTAAACAAACTTGAAAAGCCCATCAAAACCCCAAACATCCAGAAGTCGGCTCCTCTGTCAAATGATGTTCTTTCGGCGTCAGATGACAGAGCTGGCGGTAAGGACGCATCAGTGAACAAAGATTCAACGAACTTCGGTGCAGACCTTCCAGTGAACACCGATTCGAACGTGGCGCCGGCTAACGGTATAGCAAACTCGCCTTCATCCTCTGGCACTAACTCCGGATCGTCATCACTTCTAACTTCTACAGAAGAACCACTTGCTGGAGTCAACCAAAACTCCCACGTAGATTCACCAGTCTCTTCAATACAGCCCGCCGTGGCTCTCGACACTGTGCCACTCTCTGGGCCTTCCTCTGGACTCGAGGATAAGTCCAACTTTTCACCCAACTCTTCACCAGATTTAGACACTGGTTATTACGAGCTTCCAGGCTGCAACTGTTCCCGGAAGTACTCCAAATCTGCCTACTTGGCGTTGAACGGAACCCGCTCAAGTTGCGGCATGACCGCAGACATTCGCGGTGCGAAGCAGAATGTCATCTCCTTCAGTTTCTACGGTAACGCTTCGAGTGTGTTCTTTGGTGGCATCGAGGCGAACCTGGCAAAGGTGCCCGAGATCTACCCAGGATGGGTGGTTCGTGTGTACAACGACATCAACATGAGCGAACCGCGACAGAGGGAGCTTGTCTGCGATGTGCAGTGTCGGTAAGTTGAGCTGTCTGGACGCTAAGACCCATTGAGGGTCGTGTCCTTTGTCAAATTGTAGCCATGGTTTGTGGGACTCTCCCTCTTGAAGTAAAGATTCATGAAGTGGGTCTTACTTTTACGGACTGTTCTATTAGCTTCATAGGCATACGTTGGCCTTAACCCTATTCCTGGCGGGCTCCGGCGGGACAAGAAACTGGCGGGGGGGGGCCGATTCGGCCCCCCCTGAGATCTCGAGAACGAAGCAAGATAGCGACAAGCGGTAAACGGCATCGGATACGCACGGCCAAGATCTACAATTTTTACTGAGGTCATTTTCAGGTCAGGTCAAAGATGACGTCACAGGGGTCGAAAAAGTCAAAATGGCGGCACTAGATATGGAGAGAGTTTTTCTCGAATAACTTTCGAATTAGTCAAGATAGGAACAAACTAAGGGCATCATCGTGATCCTCTCGTCAATCCGCATCGGATGATATATATGTTGACCTCGAAAGGTCAAGGTCAAAGGTTGACCTCAGGTCACGTGACCTCGAGGTCATCATGTATATCATTCGATGCGTCTTGACGAGCTGAACACAATGAGACCATCCACGCGTCTGTATCTTGTTCCTGTACGGAGTTATTGGCCAAAAACCTTTGGTGACCTTTGATGACGTCACATGACCTCACAGCTGCCCAACAGCAAAACAGACCTCAAGGTAGTGAAGGTTGATCATATATGAAGTCATGTATGGTATATGGGGCCATTCCGACCCGTTTTAGTGGTAAAAACAGGGAGTTGATTTTTCCCCCATTGACTTATAATGGGGAGGTCGCGAAATTGACCTGACCTTAGGTCACCGATATCAAAATTCCGAGATATACAAATTGCACATACTGGTACCCTAACTAAACCCTGAAGAGAAGAAATTGATCGGTCAAAAACTCTAGCTCTGGCGTGATTGCAAACTTTTCTGAGGTAGCGTCACCAAACCGCCTCTGGTGACCTGACCTGAGGTCAGATCAACTCAAAATTTTCAGACATGTTGCGTAGAAGCCTTTTAGGAAAAGTCAGAAAATTTGAGCTTCCTAGCTCAACGCGTTTGGGAGATATAACCAAAAAACCTCAGGGGGGGGGGGCTCCTGAGGCCCCCCCCCCCCCCGCCAGGAATAGGGTTAATCCATGGATGGCAATTGCCACTCTATCTCATGAAATAATTTCAAATAACGCCGATTTTCGAAAACACCTAAGCATTTAACGCCTCGCTAATCGCTAAAATTTAGGTATATTCTTATCGACATTTTCTTGGCTACCATTAGATTGACAAATCTATGATGTGTGTTTTCAGTTACGACAACGTGGACTTTTGTGACGTCCACGACCTGCCAGGACTGGGCGACCTCAGCAAAAAGTTCGGGATGATTTGGCGGTTCATGCCGTTGGCTGACGACACCGTGGAGCGGTTCATCGTTCGCGATCTAGACTCGCTGATTGGCTGGGTAGGTGTGACGTCATCAAAAATCGATCGCTGATTAGCTCGTTTGGGAATTGTGCGATTGAATAAACACAAAATGCTTTCAGTTCAAGCAATGGAAAGGGGTAAAATTTATTTGGAAAGCAGTCCTCAATATCGCAGCCCTGCTGGCTGCTTATCACGTAGCAGTAGGTACCCTTTCTAGGTAAAGACCAGAGACCTAGACTCTAACCATTCTTCCCTACTGGCTATTTCCTTTTTTGTGACCTGTCTGCATCTGATTCGTGAGACTTAGCGTCTAGCTCATTTTTTTAGTCCCTGAATGACCTGTTCCACTTTGGTGAGCCTACGTGATCCGCCCACCCCCAGACGATGCGTATACCCCATTGTCTTGTGTTATCTAATTTCCATTCGTATCACGCGACCAAACCTGATGAGCCATCTCATTTCCGTCCCTCTTCCCTCAGGCCTGTCCCACTGCCTTGTGCCACTGTAGCCTGGACTCGACACTAGGTCGAACTCTCCACCTGACTCCTCGTCAGACTCAGACATCGGTGAATACTAGCTTCCGGACGGCAACTGGACCCATGGGCCATGGACCCAACTGTCGGAGCTTTCCACCGAACCCATGAAGTGACCGCCTTCCCCTTCACCCACAGCGAGAGCGGGCAGCCGTAGACGACTGGATCGCCTCCAATCGAACGTTCCACGCCATGCGGGACGCTCCTGCGCACGGGACAGAAATTCTGGGAGGGATGTGGGGTGGCTGGAACCGCTACAACTCAATATACAAACGGGTCCGCGACCGTATCATTAAGGTCACCCAGTGGAGGTTCAAGGTCAGTGCAGACAGATAAGGGTTAATGTGGGGAGTCCTAAGGTCATTTATCTTGCAGAGGTCAGTGGTGTTCAGTCAGTTTAATCGCAGAGAGGGATAATAAAGGTTAAATATCAGACATCAGTTTAACCTCTTCAATAAGGTCAGGAAAGCCTCAAGATCTACTAAATCGCACAAAGTCACAATAAAGATCACGTACTTTGCTTTGGATCTCGAGGAAAAGACATAATTTACAAGAAGACCAAGCATCTTCCCATGATGACGCGTTTTGAACCTCGTATGTGTCCTGAGAGTCGTCATCTGCGCCTTTCCGCAGGGTCTGGACCAGCGCGTGCTGACGGTGGTCCTGTGGCCGCTCATCCAGCGACATCGGGACCTCATCGCTCACGACAGCTACCTCTGCTACTACTACCCGATGACGAGGCCGTTCCCCACACAGAGGGAGAGTCCGTTTGACTTTGTCGGCTCGCCAAGTCGCATCGATAAGGGTTTCCGGTTGCAATCGCATTGTCCGTACTTTTGCAGGCCTCGTGAACACCGTGACTGGGAATGGTGTTGATGTGGTGCTGAGCGAGACGGGCAGAGCTGGGCAAGTGCGTTCCTTTAGTGCGTTCCTGCGTTCTTCCGTACGTACGCACCGCCCTTTTTAGGAACGCAAGAACGCAGGAACGCAAAGTTTTTCAAAGGAACGCAAGTAAGAGGAACGCACCACCCGAAATTTTGAAGCGTTCCTGCGTTCTTGCGGAACTACCCGAAAAATTATATTGCTGCCAATGACCTCTGTGTCAAATGTTTGAATCTCGAGTACGTGTGTTTGCCGGTAGAGGCGCCACTTGTCAGTCGAATCGAGGAAGGCTTGCTTAGATTTAGTGGTGATGTTTACTATTCGATTCGGTTTCAGGCATTAAAGATTTTTAGTGGTGATGTTTACTATTCGATTCAGTTCCAGGCATTAAATGTGTAGAGTAAATATGATAAATTTTACTAAGATACATCTTTAAACTAAACTATTGTTTTTAAGCAGGTCGTATTTTTGTTGAAAACCCTACGGATGATATTGGTAAAACGTATTTCAGATATTCGATTCGGAAAAGAGATGTCGAGTTGCTTTTCGGCCCCACGTCGCCATTCTGGGTATTCTGTGATCGATTCGCCCCGTGTTTGGTTAGGCCCGCGCCGCGTGGTTCGGCGGTATTTTTGAGGGAGGAACGCAGGAACGCAGGAACGCTAACGCACCGAACGAAAAAAAATTGAGGAACGCTATTCCAGGAACGCACTAACCGCGGCCGGAGGAACGCAGGAACGCTAACGCACTACCGAAAATCGAGGAACGCGCCCAGCTCTGGAGACGGGGTTTATAAGAAGTCACCGGCGTGTATCGAGACCACAGGGTGGTGATGCCTGGTGACCTGGTGTATCGTGACTCGTGAGACTGGAGTGGTGTATGTACAGTGTTGATCTAGTACTGAGTGAAGCTGCGAATAGTGCTTGCTTCGTGCCGAGCGCGACTTGGGATGTCAATGTTGCTGACCTGGTGCAAAACGAATGAAATAGTGTTGACTTCTTGACTATGAAGTAGGGCAGCACTACTGGAGTAGTGCTGCCTGCCCGAGGTTGGTGCAGTAGTGTACCGTAATGACTCGCAGTAGGCTAGTGCTCTACCACTGGAAGTGTGCTGGCCAAGCGCACAATGACCGCAAGAAGTGCTCAAGGCGGTTCGTGGTGTCGAGGACACCTTGATAAAAGCCCTCAGCGATGCTGCGGACACCACCAACACTTCATCGTAACTACATCCTCCAGGATCGATGGACCTAATACCACCTGTCCGTGCTTCTATCCTCAGGATACTGAAATCCTTCTCCTCCACGCCACAACCCCCTTCCGGGCTGGGCAGGCAACTTTATCTCATGCGGGCTGCTCCCTTGGAGCGGCACCGCTGCTCCTGAGGGAGCGCACCCCGTAGCCGGGTGCAGTGAGTGCCTTGGGGCTGGGTGGCCTGTCCTCTGGACGGGCTCAGCCCCGGCGACTCACTAGGGTGCCTGCCCGGACCAATGTCTCCCCCTAATTCCTATCATCCTTCCGGCTCTGCAATGGTCTTGTCGACCGAAAGGGCCTAACCCAACAAAACAAACAAAGACCTAATACAGTAGGTATGTAGACACTATCCTTTTTGGCAGACATCAAATGCGGACATATGTGCGTGCATGCGTTGAACAAATGGGCTTTTACCATATCGCATCGAAACGATTTGTTGGCCCGCTTTGACTACTTATTAGTGACTCGTTAGTCGTTACCCTGCCTGTTAAAAGTTCCATCGTCGAAATGGCATTTGTGATGTTATTTATATCTGGGGACTGGGAGTGTTACTGTTTGTTCACTGCACTCCCAATTATTCTGTTACTGTGTGTGTTCTGTGGTTAATAGGCCCCTCGTTGGTATCAGAATGGGACCATTGTTTTCTGACGCAGTCTTTTCGGTCGTGCGACGTGCCCTGAGGGTCAAGTCTGTGATAAGTGGACGTAACGGCTCGAATGTTACGCATAACTAGGCCAGTGTGGTGGGCCGATGCGATCCACGATACGTGCGTTGTGCTATATGTGGACGTAGTGAAGTAGGTACCACACCATCTGACCAATCATGAATCTCTATACGGCCTTAATCATAAACGGACTGGTTTTGTACTGGGTGTGCTTCGCTGTACTGCGCGAAATACATTGAAATGGTAGGCATAACATTTCATTCGTTTACGCAGCGCTACAGATGGTAGCTAGCGATTAGGCTACGTGCAACCTACCTATTGCCCGAGTAGTTTCGTACCCAAAAAGACATGAATATATATATATATTATATATATATATATATATATATATATATATATATATATATATATATATATATATATATATATATATATATATATATATATATATATATATATATATATATATATATATATATATATATATATATATATATATAAAAATATATATATCGTAAATCGCTCGTGAATCGTAATGGCCAAAACCGTGTCCGGAGGTACCGTAAGTCCACTAAACCATTCATATATTAACAGTGGCGGATCCAGAGGAGGAAGGGGCCATGGGGGCCATGCCCCCCCCCCCCTCTGGGCCTCCCGGGGGCACCATCACGGAGTTTTTTTTTTAATTCATCACGGAGGTCACCGACGGGAGCTTCAACCCAGAAGTCTCCTAAGGGGCCCCATCCAGAAGGTCTATCGGCCCATAGGGTACCGTTTTCGGGGTTTCCCGGAGGCCCACTTCTGTCCCTCGCCTCGGGTGGGACTATTTCCATTCCGAGGTCCGCGGGGGCACCATCTCGAGTTCTCCGGGGGCACTATCCCGAGTTCTCCGGGGGCACTATCCCGAGTTCTCTGCGGGCACCATCCCGAGGTCTCCGGTGACACCATCGCGAGGTCTGGGGGTACCATCCCGAGGTCTGAGGGTAGAGGCGGCACCATCCCGAAGTCTGTCTCCGGGGGCACCATTCCGAGGTCTCCAGGGCCCGGGGGCACCATTCCAAGTTTCCAGGGGTACCATTCCGAAATCCGAGGTCTGAAGGAGCACTCTCTCCGGGTCTGCGGGGGCACCATCCCGAAAAGTAAGTGGCCGAAATCCGTGGATTTTTTAGGGGGGAGGGGCACCAAATACCAGGGGGTAGGCACAATACCGTATGTCCCCTCCCCCTTGACGAAATCCTGGATCCACCACTGTATATTAAAACCTAAAATTCTAGCCGCTCCCGCAGTTTTACACCTCCACCCGATGACTATGGAGCATGGAGCATGCTCGGGGCCTGGGGGCATGAGCAATGAGCATCGAGACGGTGAATGCGCGGCACCACAGGGCGCAGGGAGGCAGGGTAAGACCGAATTACTGCAGGTGGAAGGCAGGAACGACGCTAACATTGAATAAAGGGAACCACAGAGTGGACCCCTCATGCGACGTGCCCTGAGGGACTGGCCACTGGGTCAGCTGGTGAAGAGGAAGTTGTGACCTGCGACACATGCCAATGCCGGCACTGAGCTCCGTATATAATAGAGGCCAGTATTGCCCAACACAACTATAACCGCGCCCGGCGACCCAGGCCGACGACCAGCCCACTTTCACTTATCCCTCGGCGTGGGACATGTGGAAGCTGATTGTGTAATCGACTGTACGTTAACATTCACTGCGCCATAAAAGAAACAGAAAAGTGTTATTTCTATGACGTCAAAGGTACTCTACTTTTTCTTATCAATTATTGCAGTTCATTTATGAGTACCTAAATATTTTTGTTTTCCATTTATTTTTGTTTACATATTCTTGAGGTTTTGTCGTTGTTTGAAGCATTAGATAAATCAGTATATATTTTCATGACCGAAGTGATCATTTATGCTTGCTACTGATTCGTTTTTAGTAATGACGTCATTAGCTTTAAAAATGAAACGAATCCATTTTAAAGCCTCAAAGTTAAACTAATTGGCATGTCAAAAGTTATTGTTGTGTGTAGTGTGTGAGCTGTGGTAGTGTGGCTGAAATCTAATTGATTTCTTGCCATTTTCTAGACAATTTGTGGCAGTTGTGACTGTCGCTCTGCGTTGTGATAACTTCAAAGTCTAGTCAAACTCTAAGCATAATGGCAGCCCTGCGCCAGACCCCCTTGACCTGCAGTGGGCACACTAGGCCAGTTGTTGACCTGGATTTCAGCAGTATTACCCCTGAGGGATATTTTATGGTCTCTGCATGTAAAGGTAAGTTTTAAATCATTGAAAGCTATTTTTTGGCACCAAAGCTTGGAAGTCTTGCACATAATTTCAATAGTAAATGCATTGTTACCTGTAATCTCAGTTGTCTTAGGCCACGAGTGTGCTTCCATGCGCTTCTCTTTGGCTGAAGAATATAGGAATAACTTTCTTCTGTGTGCTAACCAAATGGGAGGCTACCATCACAATCAATGCATGACTGACGATTGACGAAAACCTGTTCCGTCCAGATGGAAAGCCAATGCTGCGCCAGGGCGACACCGGTGACTGGGTCGGCACATTTGAGGGCCACAAAGGTGCAGTCTGGGGTGTGGCGCTCAACTCAGATGCTAGCCGTGTGGCTACTGGAGCTGCTGACTTCACAGCAAAAGTAAGAACTGTTTTGCTGCCATTGCAGGATGGCTGCTGTTATGGGCAAGATGTTATGCTAGGTACACACAACTGAGAGGAGCTGTGATAACTCCCAGTCATGTGACCAGAAGGGTCAAGTACCATGGTTTTGCATGAGACCAATGTACTGGCTATTAAAAAAGGTACTTAAATGTAAAATGCCTAGATATCTTGTGAATATATTCATTCAGTAATCAGTTTTTTTTTTTTGTAACCTTTTTGTAACCCACTCTTGGCTCTTTTGGGTTATGTGGAAAAATAAATAATTTTCATGCACAATTAGTTCAGCCATGGGAACTCACTCACTGCAGGTACCAGTACTCTAAAATTATGCTGTGTCTGAGCTGATTCATTGATCCTCTCTTCCTTGCTCTCTATTTTGGCAGCTCTGGGATGCCCAAACTGGCTCAGAGATGCAGGGCTTCCAGCACAAGCACATTGTGAAGGCGGTGGACTTTTCGCCAGACTCCTCCCTCCTTCTCACTGGCAGCAATGAGAAGATCTTGCGCATCTTCGACCTGGCCAAGCCAGACAGTGGTGAGTTCTTGGTCATAGATGAGTCTGCTGTGTAGACATCGATATTATTTCCTAGGGAATGAAAGGTGTTAAAGTGCAGAGTGCTTGGGTTTTAATTCCTAAACCTCCAGCTTTTATATATTGCTAATCATTTGTGATTTATTGATCATTCGTGAATCATTTGTGACATTCATTATCTCCAGCTTTTCTTAGATTTATTGCCATAGAAAACCCTCTGGGGATGCAAATTACATCAATATCTCACAAAGGTGGTCGTCGTAATGCATTAGGCTCTTCTGATAATAGTTGGAATGATGAAAATGCTGTGTCACGGTTGTGATCTCTATACTGATGTTTCGTTTGCTCTCAGACCCTCAGATGTTCACTGGTCACACTTCCAACATCAAGAAGGTGATGTTCCTGCCCGGTGGTGATACGATCCTCAGTGCCAGTGACGACAAGAGCGTACGCGTCTGGGACCGACGCACCGGTCAGGTAAGTAGAGAAACTGATATATCTTGCCTGTCCTGACTGGGAAGAAAGTAGCGGCCCAACAGCGAAACGAGGAGATGGGCTTTAATGTTTAGCAGAGCTGTACCAGACTGACTACTCCAGGTCAACCTAACTGTACTGGACTGTTTTGGGGGGAAGCACTGGTCTGGTAGTGGTGAACTACGAAACAGATATATCGTGACCTAACCCTGGATAGAGATCAATGGGAAAGATGGTAGGTTCTTTGCGGCTCAGTAGCAGTTTATCTTCTTTCGCCTCGCACCCGACCGACGTGAAGCTCTTATTTACCGTTCGTTTGCGTCCATAGGCACATCAGTATCACGGACTGTGCTGTGCTGGCTCTAGCCCTTTGCTGTCTGCAGCTGTCCCAGTATTACCCTTCATTTTTTCTCAGGTGGCTCGCTCTGTGGAGCTGCCGGCCATGCCGACTGACGTCGAGGTCCACTCGGACGGCTCCACTCTCACCGTCACTCACGGCAAGACCGTCAGCTTCCGCTCCATTGAGAGGTGCGTATACGAGTCCCATTGTAACCTTCCACTTGATGGAACGATTTGAATACGCTCTTGCCTCGTACTCCACGAAGAAGTACGTATGCGAACCACAACGTTCGTATCAATTTGCCACAATTTAGCAACGTGTCTCGATGTTACAATAGAAAGCGGCCTAATTGAGGACCAACGGCCATGTCGTAGCATTCAATTGCCGTTGTGACTATTTGCCGAGTCCTTTGATGGTGTCTTCTCACGACATGTTAGTTTTTGGTAACTCGTACAGACCCTGATTGATATCTCTGAGCAGTGGTTGGCAGTCGAAGACGTGTCTTCCCAATCATCCCCTGACACGACCCATGACTTCAGTTAACATCGCCCGTCAGCCTACACTCTGAGCATTACTATCCCCCAAACCCCTAACCCTTGACTATGATCTTTGACACCCTTACATCCACAGCCTGGACGAAGTGCGTGTCTACACAGCACCCACCCAGCTGTTCTCTGCCTCCCTGCACCCGTCCAAGTCTGTCTACGTGTGTGGAGGAGACGACTTCATCATGTACAAGTTCGACTACGCCACTGGCGCAGAAATTGAAGCCTGCAAGGGCCACTTCGGACCGGTGCATATCGTACGGTTCAGCCCTGATGGTAAGTACTGGCTTCTGAGGAAGGATAGTGGCCAGCGGTGGGTGAAGAGTGGTTGCGATCCATACTGGCCTTTCGTTAGGGGGGGGGGGGGGTTCAGGTGCAGGTGGCGTATCTAAGGTTACACGTCTCGGTTGATTGTCTACTTTGATCTGATGCATGTGTGTTGTAAGTTTGGAAAGTCGTTACTGATTTCCGTGAATACTCGACGGCTTGTCTGTGAATAACATCCGCGATCATTCAATGAGGTTCGTGAATTTCTCCCCAATGTTGTTAGGTTTCCCTCTTTTCGCTTGAATATACCCTGCCTTTGAATATCCCTTGCCGACGTACATCCGTTTTCGTCGTTATGCTTATGTGCGCGCTGTGCGCTTTCCACAGGTGAGCTGTACGCGTCTGGCTCGGAAGACGGCACCCTCCGTCTGTGGCAGACCACCGTCGGCAAGACCTACGGTCTCTGGAAGTGTGTCGAGGCCACCATCGAAGGCAAGCAGGAACAGACGGCTGCGTAACTGGTGATGATGACAGAGAATGTACTAGGAAGGATGGAGGAGCGAAGAGAGGCTAAGGCAAGGCAGGGGGAGCGCTTGGTCACACGATAGCGGATTCCGAGCAGCCCGCTGCTGCGGATCTTGAGTCCCGAGTACTGGCTGTTCAGTACGCGGTTCTTTTGCACGTACCGCGACTGCCACACGGCCTTGCTCTTGCCTCTTCCGCACGGAAGCTAGGTCAGTGGCGCCAAGCGGCAAAAACGCTGGGGCTGGTTAAGCTCCCGCGGTTTATCAGGTCCCCGAACAGTATTTGGTCCGGGTGAGGGAGGCCCTCCCTTTGCGTCGACGAACCCCGGTGGCGGTGCAACTTGCGGCGAGGCTAAGCCAACCGCTGAAAGACAGCGCTCAGTGGCGCCATCTATCACGAATAGTGCTCAGTGGCGCCACCTATCTCGTAATAAAGCGTTGAGCAGCGCCACCTATTTCGTAGAGCTATAGTTGCGGCGACACGTCTGCTGAGCAGGTAAAGACGTGCTGGTGCTTGGCTATTTTTGTACTGTTAAGTCCGAAATGTCGACTAGCGACAGCCGGAGATATATGATATTGATGGACGCGATGCGTCACTGGTTCTGGTGTAATACAGTGGTTCAGGTGTCCGCTGTGTATAGGGTATGGGATGCCTGAGGTATGGGTGATATCACGTACTCGAGTTTTGATAGAATGGTTGGTGAGGGGAGGTCAGTCTAACCAGTTTTTCACAATTTGGCTCAAATGTTTTTGACGGATTGAAGCAGCCGAAGCCTATATAAGCAGAGCCTGTTGCGCAGCCCGGGCCCCAGCTTAAGTCCAGTCGGGTAGTTCCGAGTATATGAGCATGCTGAATGTCAAATTTTGGTGTGCCCACTGCCCATCAATGCCGGACACGGTCCGTCCCAGTTCCCACTCGTCGAACCTCAACAGGTGCGGCCGATTCAACAGGTACAGGCAAACTGACGTTTCTAGGAAAAATCGTGGTGCAGCCGATTAAATATATTTGAGCGCACAAACTTCACAACACAGCGAGTGGACATACTTTTTCATCCCTTCGATCGTGCATACCCTCCCTCAAATGTGGATTATCATCCCCTCAATAACCCATCAACCTGCGACCATGTCTAACACAGTGCAGTGAATTCCCGTGTAATAAGTATATAAACTAAAGTGTCATGGATTTGAGACTCTCGACGGTAACTTGCTTGCACGTTACACTGGTTTTAGTAGAATGTAGCGGAATGCTAGCGAAGTGACCTGAAATGCAAAGCTAGTGCCGTCAAATGGCTCCAGTATTGGACCTCCTACCGTTCATTTATGTAGGTAACCAGCTGCCTAAATATATAAACCCCCGCCCTTTATCGCCAATGCCACGCGGCACATAGCCTTCAACATATCTAAACTTCGACCCCGCCATAGTTGACACTTTACAATCATTAGTCATTCCCTCAGCCTCAGACATGGCAATCATTCTCTGACAATGCTCAGAGGCACACTGCTCCAACCATCGACACATTCCCATCTATCGACACATTCAGAGATAACTTGAACCGTCAACATGATCCCTCCGCTTCCCTCGTGATGCTCACTTGATCTCTCTTGCTGACGCCTCGTGGTCCTTCGCGATGGTTTCCTGGTCCCCCAGATGTGACTTAGTCCTTTGACATTAGACGGTACGCTAGTTACGTCACCGGGCACATCATTCCCGGTCAACTAGTTTCTCTGAAATCATCTCACCGATACATTATTGACATCATACAGTCCCATAGTTCACATTCCCTGTGCATATGATGTTAGCTTATCCCACTTTCACGTCACATAGTTGGTTGTTGACGTCATATTGTCCCAGCAATCGCATAATCTGATCCCATCACTCATCAGTAACATGAGTAACATGTCATCAGTATTAGTGAGTGCATCACTCATGGTTCCATCCCTCATCACATCACAATATGACCCCACATTCACATCACCTCACGTGTCACCTACGTCACCTAGTGTGTAGTCCCTCATTGACATCTATTCCTCGTGTCAGCCCCCATTCCCGTGTTATTCTCGTCCTTTGGTGTTAGCAGTGGCAGCTTAACTTAACTACCCTGATATGTCAACTTGGTTCATCCGTAGTCAGTTCCTCCTCACTCACACGCACTTTGATCCCTGGAACATTTACCATATCTCCCTCAGTCTATCACAGCAACTGTTCAACATAACAAATTACCCCGCAAAAATGTGCGTACCAGGCATAAATAAATTCGCCCTCACTACAGTAACTGCGCTGTCATGGAGGAACAAGCTTTTGGAATAATATGGATAAAACGCGGGGACACGGTCGAAATGTTCGCGAAAGGCAGAGTGGCAGTCATTTGGCAGTGACAGATGTTAGCTACTGACATATGGACCGTCAGCTTCTGCCTGACCACAACTTAACTGTCTGCTATTGCCATGCAGTTGCAACAAATTGTTAGCAAGTGTCAAAAGATAACATGTCGGCTGCAGCTGTCACACAACAGATGTCAGCTGCCCTGAGTGACAGACAGTCACTATCCTCTTATGACAGTGGAGCAGGACACGAGCTACCCTCTCTCGCTGCAGCCAAGCTTTCGACCGTCCTCCTTAGATAGCGGTAGCACTGGACACGAGCTCCGCCACTCGCGAGGCCGATTCACCCCGCAGGAACGTCACGTGATCGCCGGTTACGTCATGAACGGTGACGTCACCGGAGCAGAACTGCAGACAGAGGGGGAGAAGTGCGTTAGATATGACGTCGTATGCCGGGAAATGTGGGATCATGATTGAAGACGCGTCAGTTGCAAAATAAGTCAACATGAAAACCATCGCCACAGACTGAGGCCTGCGTCACGCAGAAGGGTCGCGAGTGCGCAAAGGAAGCCACAAAGAACTATGGCCGCAGGTCATGAGACTTAATCTAGGAAACGCACATTTGGGGGCCCTGGTGAGCAGCTACCTACATCGCTCAGAGATCTCCTGGACTGAGCCAGCAGTCAGTCAGTCTACCATCGCCTGGCAGCCTTCCCACCTACATCCGAATGGACACATTGACTGATTCCCCGCTTCACGACTGTTCAAGATGTTAGTCCGCTTCCTCACTCATTTCTTTTCTGTCAGTCCCCTTTCTCACCTGACTGAGCTGGTAGTCCTCTCCCAGTGAGGCGGCCCTGTCGTTGTGCCGTGCCTTGATCAGTGTAACTGAGCTCTCCAGCGGTACCGACGGACGGTACGTGTGACCGGCCATGATCCTCGCCAGCATACCCTGAACGGTCGGCTGCGGAGGACACAGACTGAGGTCAGATCGGGTAAAAATTAAAGTCAGTGAGATTAACGAGGTCAGTGAGATCAAGATCAGTGAGTTTGATGGTGTACTATGGCAGAATGTAAAAGATAGGGTCAAATTGGATCCAATCACTAATGGGGTTATTCCGGGTCGAGAGATAGAGAATGTGAACGATAGATGGAGGTAAGCTGTTGGAGGTCAAAGAGAGCAGATGAGATAAGATGGAGGTCAAATGAGCATGCGCAGGACGTCGATTTTTTATTATTACACGAGATCTTCCGAAGGACCTTGGGAATGACTCATCACATCTCAATGTCAACTTACCTGCAGTTGTTCTGGCTCAATGAACAGTCCTGACTCCGCCAACCGCGTCACGGTGTGCTTCACTTTCTGCTCGGTAGATGGCAGGGCGATCAGCTCCCGACGCAGCTGACGACAGGAGAGACGGGCGAGTTAGTTATTGTGGGGTTAGCTGACATTACAATATCAATGTATGAATGGACTTCAGGCTGCTAACATATGCATAAACCCACCACATAGCTGCTCGTGTGCATCTAGAGCACACGAGCAGCTAACACTCTGCGTGTGACCTTGGCGGTCACACGCAGAGTGTTAGCATCACTGACGCTCAAGGGATACGCCAAACTTCAGCCTCGCTTCCTAACAACATCGGCATTTTTCAGGGTTCTGCTCTCGGTCCACTTCTGTACTGTATCTTTGCCAACGATCTCAGTTTATTTGCCGATGACGCAGTCATCGTGCAATACGCCGATGACACACAAATTCTAGTCAGTGGTAAAAAATCGGAAATTCATAACGTAGTACACCGCATGGAACTTTCTTTGGCTTCTCTTGACCTTTGGCTACGCGCCAATGGCTTAAAAGTAAATGCAGGAAAAACTCAGCTGATGTTGTTGGGAAGCGCTCAAAATTTGCGCAGTGCCCCAAACATTACGGTAAAATTTCGCGATCACGTCATCAATCCCGTCTCGGAAGTTCAAAATCTCGGCCTGACGTTCGATCGCAATCTCACTTGGAACACCCACGTCAGTAACGTCACGCGACGTTGTTTCGGCATTCTCAGTGGTCTGTCACATCTTAGGGGCCGCCTGCCATCGTCCGTCATCTCCGTCCTGGTCAATGCGCTGGTTCTCTCACAGGTCCGATACTGTATCACAATTTACGGCAACGGTTCGAAGAAGAACCTTGGTGCCATTCAGAAGATTATAAATTACGGGGCCAAAACAATTTTCGGACGCAAAAAGTACGATCATGTATCGGATCTGCTCGAGAAGCTGCGTTGGCTCAGTGCGGAGAATCTGGTGTCATATCACACACTGTGTATGATTCACAAACTGCTGCGCTTCCGGGAGCCCGATGAATTGTCGGCCGGCCTGTCTACGGTGGCCGAGACCCGGGGTGTGTCGGGAGCCCCAGACAGGGTCACCAGGCAGGACCGCGCACTGTATGTGCCCCGGTCCAAGACCGAGACGGGGAAGAGGCGCTTCAGGTGCCGTGGTCCAGCCCTGTACAACACCCTACCACCCGAACTGCTGGAGCTCCCTGTGCCCATTTTTACACGCCGACTCAAGCAGCACTTATCCGCTCGACCACCAGACTGATTATACTACTTTTTAGCCACGGGGTGTATGTGTTATGGTGTATGCTCGTATGTGAATGTGTGCGTGTGAACTGTGCATGAACTCCATGTTGAGCCTAATGACGACCAGTCCCATTTTTTACTATATGACGAGAGGTATTAAAAGCCACTCCAAGTGGAGCACCTCAATAAACGTCTGAGTCTGAGTCTGGGTGTCGGGAATTTAATGACGACGCCCAACTTTGGTTGTGCTTTCTAAAAGGCAACGTGTTTTACCTGCGTTAAACCTCCTGGGATTTCATACATAACCCGCAGCCTCAAACATTTCAACTGTTTCGTGGGCTCAATAATTATATAGCTCTAAGCTCAACCGATTGAGATACCCTCACACCTGTCTAACCAACTCAACCGGGCGGGTGAATCGATCCATTCCGCTCACCCGTACGGGTCACACACCAATGTGAATCTCTCTCACCCATTCGCGGCTCTCACCTGGATAAAGTCAGTGTTGATGAGCGACACAGCCACCATACAGAGAGCGTCCGCCTCTCCCGCTCCCTGTGTGTTCGGGGCGGAGGACCTGCCGTACTTCCTCAGGTAGCTGGATGTTATCTGGGAGACGTAGCTGAAACGAAGGAAGTAGAGGAGTTGTTAGAGGTGGGGTGAGACTGGAGTAAACCATGGGGAATTGTGAAACTGAAAACAGTGAGGATATTGGTACATCCAGGCATATTTAGCGGCGATATGACATTGAAATACGGCACGAAAAACTGACACTGATGAGTGGCACAAGACACCGTCACTGGCACGTGACAGCTATGAATGACCTCTAGTAGAAACTCGAAGCCCTCGCCTGTCTGAAGCCCGTTATAAGTCTGAATATCAGTCCCGGGTCAAATTGCTAGCTACCAATATCCAATCTGAGGCCTCTTGCACCAAACTACCTAGCTAGGTAAAATCGAAAAACCGGTTTCAGAATAAGCTAATCTAACGGTGGTAAATTTGTTTGCAATAGCCCAATACATAATCCTACATGTGCTTGCAAAATTTTGCATGCAAATTGTTACATTTGAGACTTGGACTGGGTATACGATGCAAAATAATCCAAGCATTGGTGCAAGAGGATTTTGGTGCAAGAGGCCTCTGCACTCCCATCTATAGCATGCACCTCCCTCTATAGTCTGTACTCCCCTCCACATACTGTCTGTACTCATTTATACAGACCGCACTTTCCTCTGTACACATATACCGCTCACTCACCTCGGGGAGCCATCCAGCAGTATGACAGCGGTCGGCGGCGGTACCTTCTGTTTTTGCATCTGTAGGGACATCTCAAACACCACGGCTGAGCCGAACGAGTATCCGGCCAGCGCGAACCGGCGGCCAGAGCCCACCTGGGCGGTGATAACCTGTAACAGGAGACAAGGAAAGATTAGCGATGAGGCACGAGAAATGCGGGGTGAAACATGGGAGACACGGTGAGGCAAGAAACTGAGTGATGAGACACAAGAAACGCGCAGTGAGGCATGGTAGGAAGACTGACATGTGAGCGAAAGCAGAAGGCGCAGAAGGGCGAGTCATAAGAAATGGTAGTAGCAAGTCAAAAGAAACATTGTGAGACGCGAGAAACGGTCGGCGAGCTACGAGAGAGACATACATATAGCCAGACTTGCGTAACTATGTGACACTTTTTTGTAATATCACCATCATCACCTTCAGGTAGTGGGCGGCCAGATTGGTGATGTCATCACAGGGCGCCTCACTGGTGCACTGCAGTCCAAAGACGGCCGTACCCGCAGAGATCTGGCTGACTGCCTCCTGGGGAAAAGAAGACACATAAAAATGTGACGTCATATTAGCTGAGTGATGTCATAGTTTTCAGAGTGAGATTATGTGTCGGTGTTATACTTGATGCCTATGCCTACCACTGCCCACTCCCCTACTCTCTTCTTTCAGTTGACGTAATGTCATACGCACATCGAACAGTAATATGCCGTTGTTTTTCAATAGAAAATTGCCCAGTAGAGATGAAAATTGCCCAGTAGCCCAGTAGCTAACAATGTTCTACTACAATACAGTGTACAGTGTACAGTTACACTGGTAATTCACTGATTGCATTAAGAATCGAAGAGTGTCACCTTTCCGTCAATTAACAAATTCAACTAACTACTTCACAAGGCGGCATACCACCACCATAATCACCATACCTCGTCCATCTACGTTCCCCATTGTACACTCTTCCTCCTGTAAGCTCTTCTTACCTTCAGCGGTGTGACCGATCCCTCGATCGGATGCACCACAAACAGAAGTTTCTCGGCGCCTGCGACTCCCTTTGCTGTAGCAGTCGCGTTCAGAGGCACTAGAAGCTCGGTGGGACGGAGACTGGTGGCGCTGTACCGACCGTCCGCTTGACGCTCAAACACTGCGATTAACACACATACGTGCAAGGAAAGGACAGTTAGAGAAACGTGCAAACAAAGGCATGAACTGGGGTCTGTCAGTTCATATAATGCATGCAAGCAAACACACAAAGACGGAAGTTAAAAAGACAAAAAAAATAGTCAATTGAAAACGTTGCTCATACCAAAATGTTAAATGCCATACAATAGACACGTCACGAGACAAGATTAAACAAATTGTCAAGACTATAATGCTAGTTTAAGCACAACACGCATAGTCTCTTTAATGGATCGTTCGTATAACTGGTAGGCTGTCGTTAGTAGAAATGGAAACTCCGTTCTAAAATTCCCAAGCTTGTCAAACTAAACAGTTTACATCTGGCGTATAGGCTCAACATGATCTCACCGAAGAGCGCGTTCTGCAGTTGACTCGTCTCCGCGGCAGCATCATTAACCGCCGCTGTCTTCTGCCCCTCCGTCTTCCCTTCAGTCTGAGTAGCCGGTGTCTGTGCGGCCCCATCAGCTGCCCCTCCCTGTTCGATTTCAGCCAGTTTAGCGAAGGTGAGCTGACGCACGGCGGTGGATTCCAGAGTGAGGCCAAACTCGCGTTCTAGGGTTTGTTTCACCTCGACACCCATCAAAGAGTCGAGGCCGAGGTCGGCCAGAGAGGCATCGGGGTTGAGCTTGCTGGCGTCGCGCAGACCTGGAAAGAAGGGCATGGGTCAGGTCGGGTCAGGTCATGTCACCTGTGATCATTCCACGGGTCAATGGAATGATCACAGGTGATAAGTGGGCTCAAAGGGTACGAGGTGGCTACAAGCAGGTCAAATGACTGGGGCTGTACAGTAGGTTAACAAACTATGGTAAGATCGAGTCAAAAAGAGTTTCAAAGAAGGTATTAAAAAAAACACACACACACATCCACATAACTTTTCAGTGGGGGAGTGTTAATCGACATTTTTTTTTCAAACAATGCGTGATTTTTGCAAGTGACGTAAATGTATCATGCATGATGCATCAATTTAATACATAATCATGCAGCGACAGACTGCAATTATAGGGTGGGGCAGCATAATCGGGAATACAGTTCGTCGCTCTGACCGCTATCTTACCGAGAATGTTGGCCACGGTGCTGACCAGACTGGTCCGGCCGGCCGTGCTGGTCTTCTTATCGGCCAGAACCACGCTGCTTACCACACCGCTCGTGTCCAGAACCCTGCGCAGAGGAAATAAATTAATGAAATAGGATACACGATACCACAGTCCACGCTGTTCACCACACCGCCTGTGGCCACAACCCTGCGCAGGCAACACTGCAGGTGATACTGAAAAGTTGACTACACTTTAAAGAACAAATGCGTTTCGGTGACAAAACACAGTCGTCACCGCCCTAAACTATGCTTATACCTATATCAACGAACTGGACTCCAAAGCCCTCTTCCTCTTTTCCTCACCTGTCGAGCACCTGCAGACACGAGTAGAGTCTCTGTGGCAGCGTGCCGCCCACCACAGTGTCGTTTCCTCCCATGGTGTCCTGGACCACACCCACGTCACCGATGGCGCCCCACTGGACCGCCAGACCTGAAGAGGGAGAGGGATGATCGGTTAGTGTTAGACTGCGGACGGAGAGAGACGGGCGGGCATTGATACACATAATTACAGAGTATGGTTTCGAGAGTGCACATATGACCTTGCACGGACAAAGGCAAAATCGAGATCACTATACCCTCCGGCGAGAGTGATTCCTATTCCAAAAGAAGCAGCCGAAAGGAATGCCACATTGAAAACTGCGAATAACACTGAGCTAATGTGTTCATTTGTGGTATAATCACGGAAAGCTCGGCGAGCTACGATATAACTATTCACGAGTGACAAACTTTCGTCTTATGGCAGACAGCCATGCAATGTAAGGCAAGATTATTACAATATGGAACAAAATTTTATCCTCAGAGCACCCCATGGTGTCTGATCTTCGAACCGACATTATATTGCAGACCATTGCCCAGTGCCCACCCCAGCCATTACAAAGGTAACATACCGTGCAGTCCGTCGGCGTTGCGTTTCTCGACGACGCGTTCCATGACGGAGTTGGCGTACCCGTAGTTGGTCTGTCCGGCGTTACCGCGTCCGCAGCTCACCGACGAAAACACCACGAACCTGCGGAGGTGGAGCAGTACAGTCGGAAATCATTACAAATATAGATATTGAACGCGTAGTTCTGTAAAAAATAGTCTTTTCGAATACTCACTTAAAACGTTAACGGCTTGGTCAGGAGGCACAAACATATTTCAAGAAGATCTGACTATTCTACAAGGTACATGAGGTTAGAACACCATTTCGAAATCCCGAGTTTTCATAAAAAAGAGAAAGTATGTGATTGAGAATACGTGTGAGAGAACGAGAAAGGAAGAGGAAAAAATGAGATTCAGAAAGCCAGAGAAAAAGAAATTGAAATATCCATGGTCAGGAAGGTCGAAAAGGGCAAAGTACGCAAGGGGCGAGAGGAGAGGAGACCTGCCACTGAGTACCCACCACTGGCAGCCAAGTCGCCGGGCGGCCCTATCCATATGAACAGTGCCGTCGGCCTTCGGAGCGGCCACCTGGCGAAACGTGTCCACCGTCTGGCCGTCCAACAGGCCGTCACGGAGCACCTGTTGGCGAGGAAAGGTGATTTGAGGCTGTTACAGACAGGTTCACAGTTCACACAGTCATACACAATCAAGTCACATTCGGATACAGGAAGAGGCTAAGAGCACCAGATGAAGGAAGGGACAGGGCAGGCACAGCCATAGACATAGACACTACACAGGCCGTTACAGAATACTTGGTTGAGGACAGACAGATGGTGACAAAAAATGGACCAAGTTACGGTAAGAGCCACAATTTACAGACACTGGCACATTATCAACTCTTGCAAAGAGCGGCAGACAGTTACATTCTCACACATAAATCTCAAACTCGCGTGAAGGACACTGTCGTGAAGGACACTGTCACTGTCTTCACTTAGGTCTCACATCGCTGTTCTCACCATGGCCAAGTTGAACACTCCCCCGATGGGACCGACGGCGGCCGCCTTCTTCAGCAGACTCTCGGCTCCCTCCGCGGTGGTGACGTCGTCACAGCAGATCTGCAAAATAAAGCGTGACGTCACTGGTGAACACACTGGACGATCAGGCTGGGCAATCAGCTGTTTTGAGATTGAGGCAACTGCAAGAAAATTTAGTTGGCAGAATCAGACTTATTTGTCAATCATTGTAAAGCGAAACAGAGTCTAAACGCCACCGTAAAATACTAGCTACGATAAGACGTCAGCTAACTTTGTATAGGTACTCTAATCGACCTTCCCCTTCCTCTCTCCCTTCCTCTATCCTCCCTCTCTCCTTCTCTCACCTGAACAGACACACCCCTGTTTCTCCAGGAGCTGACTCGGGACGCCTGGTATCCGTCTCTGACTCCGGAGCGGGAGCTCAGCACCAGGTGACGGGCGCCGCGGCTCACCAGCCACTCTGCAGTCAGAGGCATGAGGGTCAGTTAAGGTGGGATGCAGCGAGTCGGATAAGGTGGTGCAAGGGCCAAGGGGTCAATAAGAGAGGGATAAAGAGTGTCGGTAGGAGGGAAAAGGGGACGTTATATGATCCAAGTAAAAGGTAGTTAGTTACAGTCAGACACAACGGGTCAGACGGAGCAGCACAAATGGTCACCAGCGCATTCTTGATTTTGCGTTGGTCTAGTTAGTAAATAGTTAGTACGGGTTCCACTTGAATATGATGCATAAGACTTCACTAGTATAAATGTTCAGACCCGAAACAAAGCCACACGTAATTACAATATACGAACCGTAATTACATGGACCATGACTGGAACCAGAACTATACCAAAGATCATCCGAATGAGGGCCAGACCATAACCATAACTCCACCAAACCCTAACCAAACCTGAAACCCTCGCCCACTACTGACCGGCCAGCTCGAGTCCGAATCCTCCCAGTCCTCCAGTGATGACATGTACGGAGTCGGGCGCGGGGTAGCAGCGGTGGGCTGCAGGCACTGTCAGAGGGGAGGTGGAAGCATCCTCCTTGGAGCGAAGCTGGAGCACGACCTTGCCCACGTGCCGGCCGCCGGCCATGAACCTGAAATGGGGGAGGGGAGGTTAGTGAAGAGAAGAAAAGATAACTTTGAGTGGTTATGCGCCACCAAGGGGAGGGACAGAATATGGAAAGGGTGGAGACTTAAAGGGACCCTCCCACCTTCAAAAAAGTTAATGAATTGGCATGAAAGTGATGTCGCTCGGTTCAGAAAGAGCAAAAATGAATATCTACCAAATTTCATCGAAAAATATTCACCGGTTTTCAAGATATTAGACTTTTACTTTTGTTTACTTTTTGGGATCTCCGCTGTTCCTAGCGACTTTATTTGAAAGTGCGGCATTTGTTGCGCGCAAAGCAGCATATACCACCGCGTGCTGCCAAACGTTTTAGTAAAAGATTTAAAAATCGTTAGATCTCCGCTGACGTCACAAATTCTAAGGGGGCATACCAATGCATTAGCCCCTTAGAATCCGAAAACTGCAAGTTTGAAATTCCATATCTCCGAATTAAAGCATTTTTCGATGTTGTGAATGCCCAAACCGGTATTTTCAGGCCATGGCCACCAATTTGGCTATCTCAACTCAAAACTAATGTTAAGGTGGGAGGGTCCCTTTAAGAATCAATACCGGGAGATATAGAACGCTAGCTCGACTCGCCTAAAAATCGCGACCGCGTTGGCAATGATTTATTCAGGCCAGTGAGATGGCTAATGACTTGTTCCTGTTGTGTCGTTTTGATAGGAAATTAAACTACATAGCTTCACGTTGAATTACGTGCGCCACTGCGCTAGAATAGAAGCATGAATAAAACAACTGACAGCACACACTCTAAACGGATAGCTATTAAAATCAATATTTTTACATTCAATTACAGCCAATCATCGCAAGTAAGGCATTAGGCACAGAGGACGGTTCACTCTGCATGTCCAATCCTACGACCCACCCGCCCCCTCACCTGAAAGCCTGCTCGATCTGATCCCTCGGGAACACGGCCCGGGGCAGAGGCCGCACCACGCCGCTCTTCAGTCCCTCCGACACCAGGCGGGTCACCTCGCGTTTGGCGGCCGGGGCGCCGTTCCCGAACAGTGCGTCCAGAAGAATACCGTGGAAGGTGACGTTTTGCAGGAACACGGCCATGCCGAGCGGGCTGTGGGTGGAGAGCGGAGGTTCAAATCCAGGGAGGGTCGAGATTTTTATCGGTATATAATATTTTGGAATCATTTATCTTTAATTGATTTTGATAAGCATTCGCTCCCACGATTCAAACTGAAATCCCATAATTTTAAACACAAATTCGAAAACAAAGTCATTATCTACATCCCAAAAGTACTTTCAATACTCGACAATCAAGATGGCACTTGACACCGCTTCAGTTTGTTGCAACCATTTAATGGTCTAATACGTTCAAATTCACCTATCCAGAAACCGCAATAAGCTTAAAAAAGACAAAAGACCATCATCCTTCAATTTCAAGAGTATCCTTGACCACGCGTCACACACCTGTTCTGACTGAGGTCGAACTTCCCGATCTCCAGGAAGGTTCCATGCTGGGCTAGGCAGCGGACTGAGGCCTGCAGTTTATCATCACTGAGCGAGTTTAGCACCAGATCCACCCCACGGCCGGCGGTCAGGCGACGCACGGCCGGCTCGAAGGTCAGGTCACGCGAGTTGAGGATGTGGTCCTCACGAAGCTGGAAAAGAGAGGGAGGAATGGAGTCAGCTGTCGGTGCAGTAGTAACATAATTCACACGAATTTTTCACACTATTTGCAACACATGACAGACGTTGAGTTCAAAGATTCAAACTTTTTTCAATGCCCGATGACAGAAACCATCGCCAATAGACGTAGCAACAACCATGATTTCGCAGCAAGCTTCTCGCCTGAAAAGCTGGCGGAATGCCTATCTGCGGGCTCTTACAGTTCCATTAACAGAGGTTTTATATCGTCAAACCAGCCAGCTAATGGACGAATGATTGTCTCAAGAAGCACTCCATTCACGATTATCCAGGCCGTGTTTCAGCAGCCCCTAATCGTCCACCTACCCCCGGGAAGTTGTCCAGCAGGAACTGTTTCTTTGCCGCCGAGCCGACCGTGGTGAAGACGGTGCAGTCGAGGCTGAGGGCGATCGCAATGGCCGCCTGACCCACGCCTCCGGAGCCTGCGCATAGAGAGATTACGATGAGTTGGTAGACTAGTTGGTAGTTGGTAGAGTTGGAGACTAGTTGGTAGACTGGTAACAAATTAGGTTCACGATAGGCTGAAAATTGGTCACGGACTGGTCAAAAGAGAATAATCCGGCGGCCGCGGGTACATCAGGTGGCATGCTAGAACAATTCCGTTGAAAAATTCAAAAAAGATTCGAGGCTTGAAAGAGTGATTATATGAAGTGCAACACACTCTTGAATTATATTCTTTGAAATCTGGATATATTGTCCAGTCACTCACTTCGTCGAACAACGATAATAAACGAATGAACGAACGAACGAACGAACAAAAAATAAACGAAAGAACGAATTAGATATTGAATGAATGAATGAATGAATGAACGAACAGCCGTCACATTTCACCCACCTGAGTGAATCAGCACACTCTGTCCCTTCTGCAGCCTGCCTCGCACCACAAGAGAATAGTACGCCGTGGCATACACGACAGGAACCGAGGCAGCCTCTTCCAGAGTCCACGAGTCCGGCACAGGCCACAGGAACTCGGGGTCGGCTGACACAGTAGTGGCCAGACCGCGGGCGGGGACCAGTCCCATCACACGGCGGCCGGACCGGTCACGGCCGGAGAACTCCAGGCCGAGCACGCACTCCTGTTGGGGAGAGAGGTGAGAGGGTAGGAGTGAGAGGGGAGAGCGAGGGGAAAGAGAGAAGCTGCAAGACGCTGCTGCACGCCAGCTGTCTAGTACATACTACATTAGCCGAAGAGGACAAGCAAATTCGCATCCAAATTTCGATAAGAAATTGTTTGCTGTCCTATATACATATAACGATCACAGCTCATCATCGCCTATTGATAATAAGTTGCTGCTCGTAAACAAGAAATAAGCATCTCGATATCGGTTATCTCGTTCATTTTCCTTCAATTATCCGCTCCAAGAAATCGGCCATATCGCGACCCGTTGGGTCGCTGATCATCTGTGATCTCTGTAGGTATGTACATACCTACGTATATCTCACCTGAGTTGCCAGATCGCCTGGCAGCGCGTCGACCGAGAGTTTTCCCGTGGCCAGCATAATGTCTCGGAAGTTGAGAGGCGCGTAGTACACATCACACAGCTGAGACGGACTGTGAAAAGCGGACACACACGACGTCAAATCAGTGGCCAACAAGCAGGGTGTTTAGCAATACCTTAATTTTGAATTTCTGGTAATTTTAAAACATACGCCGTGCTGACAGCTCCTGTATCTTTCTAGCGAGCTTAGCGCATACCGACGAAGTGTCCATGTCTATTAGCGTTTTAAATGTTGCTTTTTTAAATCAAATTATTTGTACCTACAAATCGCCATTCAAGCAACAAAAAACGAATCAACGGGGCAAATCACAACAAAAACGAGCCCTCCTTTCCCCGCTCTTGGTATCGCATAGAAAGCTGAGGTTGATAAGGTATTCAAAAATATATATCCAGTGGCCAGTGGCATGTCACACGTTCCCCAGTACCCACTTAACCCTATTCCTGGCGGGCTCCGCCGGGACAAGAAACTGGCGGGGGGGGGGGCCGATTCGGCCCCCCTTCAGATCTCAAAAACTACACATCGCAGCGACAAACGGTAAACGGCATCGGATACGCACGGTCAAGATCTACAATTTTTACAAAGGTCATTTTCAGGTCAGGTCAAAGATGACGTCACAGGGGTCGAAAAAGTCAAAATGGCGGCGCTAGATATGGAGAGAGTTTTTCTCGAATAACTTTCGAATTAGTCAAGATAGGAACAAACTAAGGGCATCATCGTGATCCTCTCGTCAATCCGCATCGAATGATATATATATATATATATATATATATATATATATATATATATATATATATATATATATATATATATATATATATATATATATATATATATATATATATATATGTTGACCTCGAAAGGTCAAGGTCAAAGGTTGACCTCAGGTCACGTGACCTCGAGGTCATCATGTATATCATTCGATGCGTCTTGACGAGCTGAACACAATGAGACCATCCACGCGTCTGTATCTTGTTCCTGTACGGAGTTATTGGCCAAAAACCTTTGGTGACCTTTGATGACGTCACATGACCTCACAGCTGTCCAACAGCAAAACAGACCTCAAGGTAGTGAAGGTTGATCGTATATGAAGTCATGTATGGTATATGGGGCCATTCTGACCCGTTTTAGTGGTAAAAACAGGGAGTTGATTTTTCCCCCATTGACTTATAATGGGGAGGTCGCGAAACTGACCTGACCTTAGGTCACCGATATCAAAATTCCGAGATATACAAATTGCACATACTGGTACCCTAACTAAAGCCTGAAGAGAAGAAATTGATCGGTCAAAAACTCTAGCTCTGGCGTGATTGCAAACTTTCTGAGGTAAGGTCACCAAACCGCCTCTGGTGACATGACCTGAGGTCAGATCAACTCAAAATTTTCAGACATGTTGCGTAGAAGCCTTTAAGGAAAAGTCAGAAAATTTGAGCTTCCTAGCTCAACGCGTTTGGGAGAAATAACCAAAAACCTCAGGGGGGGGGGGCTCCTGAGGCCCCCCCCCCGCCAGGAATAGGGTTAAGTCACCATACGTACTCAGCATGCACGTCGTCGCTCTGCACCCATCCCAGACTGGACAGATCTCCTCTCTGAGCTGTGTTGATGAATGCAAACTCCGTCGCCTGAGGTGGGCTGGGCGGTGCCACGAGGTGTCTATAGGTGCCCCAGTGGCCGTCCCGTCGACAGATCACGGCTAGATCCAGGTTGGAGGCGAGAGAGCGGTCGGAGGAGGAGAGGGGCTCGTCGGGAGAGTAGACCGCCCTGTGGGTGGAACGGGGAGGGTGCGAGTTAGCGAGAGAAGATACAAGCAACAGTTCAAACGTTCTTTTTTTACGTTGAATGATGTTGAGGGTTTCTTTGAAAATGAGCCCCATTATTATTAAAAGATAAGCAAGTAATAGCCTTTGGCTCATTGTATAATAGACAAAAGAAATGGAAAAGAATATATGTGCGATATTTCGTGTTCGACACTTTTTCATGCACTGATGTTTCAAAAATATTTTTGTTGACAAGCAAACACACAAAACGAGCACAGTTGAATATCCCTCCTCTGATAAAGAAACATTGGATTACATAATAATTTCAGAAATGTCGACAAAATCATTCAAAGTCCAACAAGTACAGAGTTATACGGGCATAAATGATACCTCATGCCCAGCATGCCCACCACAAAACACACATATCCCCTAAAACATTCCCTAAACACATTGCATGAGTGAGGCAGACCAAAATAATTTCTACACACATTGCGCGAGTGAGAGAGGCAGAAAGAAAAGTAAGGCAGGCAGGAAGGAGGCGGCGTTGGAGAACGGCGGGCACCAGACCGGTCTGCATCAGCTTCAAGTGTAAAAAACAACGTTGGACAGGACTGCAAGAAGGTGAATAAAATGACACACAAAAAGGGTAGACAGGGTAGGCAAGACTTTTACTGGTGGGTCTGTCCTGGATGAGACGTGCTCTATCTTGTCATTGAGTTATACTGTATTTGCATGGGAGCAATCAGTTTCCAGGATGTGGTTCTTTTTTTACAATGCAGGGATGGTGTACATACATTGGTGATAAAAGAATACCAAGTTGTTAACAAAAATAATGATGAATACCTACGATTCATTTTCCAAACGTCTACGGAATTTATTCTGTCCAACACAACTGCAGACAATCATAAGTGACAAACCCTGGCGGCGAATCCGCTTGCGTTCTTTTACGAAGTAAAAATGTCCTATCATAGAACGATAAAACTATTAGCAGGCTTCCACATATGTTTACCTGACGGTGTTTCCGCCCGGTTCCCGTCTCAGACAGTTGGCCAGGCCCAGGATACCAGAGTTGTGCTCAGTGGCCGTCAGGTACAGTCTGTAAACATAAATACGGTAACATTTAACATGAAATAATTACTGTAACTGCAGAAATGGGCGACCTCCAGTTGCCAAAAGGTGAGTCACGAACAATATCGATATCAAGTAATTGCCGCGACCTTATTCGAAAGAAAACGTGGTAGGGAAGACGCAAAATGGCTTGTCCAACAGCCATGACACTTCAGCATTATCGTCAGTAGCCTTTCATGATCATGACAGTTACATAATACATTTAAGACGTTACATAGTTCCTTATCACATTAGCAGAGGTATGCTCTCCCAATAGCCACCATGTCTCTCGCCTATCCTCACTAACCTGTTATCGGCGTTGGCAGCTCCCTCTGCCATATGCTTCTGAAGCTCCGTCAACCAGTCAAACTGAGAGCCCACACTGAGCTCCAGCCAGTTCTGGGCTCCAGTCTGACCCGCGGCGGGACGACGGTACAGGAGGAACTCGCCGCCCTCGCTGCAGCGCTTGTGGGCCACCAGGGTGAGGTTGACGGAGGTCGGTAGCGAATGTTGGGTGAGCAGGAAGCCAGACTCGCGAATGGCCGCTGGGGACAGAAAAAGAAGAGGATGAATGTTGGTGGCTAGCCTAGACCGGAGGTTTGTGGAGTATAAGACCAGTAAAACCGTCTTTCTACGACGACTGATTTCGAGTAGCATAAATCTTTAGCTACTACATATTGAGCAAATAAATCTAAGCAATTAACACTCCAGCTTAAGGTCAAGCAGCCATCTTTTTACAAAGCTTCTAGCTCATAACTTTTACGATTATTCCCCCTTATTCCCCCTCCCCTCCCCCCCCCCCCCCCCCAGCATGCTTAAACGCGCTCATAGTCATGCCAACACGGCGAGAATCTTACCGACGGCCTTGTGGATCGTCTCCTCCGAGGTAACGTTCGTCTCGCCGGAGACGACCACCAAGTCCTGTCCGGAGAGGGGCAGCGGCTTCACACCGTCCCAGGTGACCTGCTGGAGGGGCGGCTCCACGGCAGTCTCAGAGGCGGTGACTAGAGTGGACTCCACCTGGGGATGGGAGCGAGAAATATTGAGTCCAATGGAAAGAGCAAGTGCAAATCGGGATTGCCATGTGACCAGCGACACAACCATTCTTTCGTTGCTTTGCTTCAAGAGATTCGTAGTTTTGAGATGAGTCGTTTGGTTAAATAGCAGCCGCTTTGACACCATAACAACGGACCCAGATGAACCACTTATAGAAACTGGCCTAAATCAGACAACGAGGCGGCCAAGAACGGTGGCCTGAATACAGGGAGCTAGAAAGGCACTAGCCTGACCCTTGGAGTTTATGATAGACCATACACAGCTAACTACATAGTAAATTTGTTGTAGACATCAAACTGAACCAGTGAGTTTGTGAGAGGCGACGCTTACCTAAACAACCGCCCGCGTGGTCCGGTCAGGTAACTAGAATGACCAGGTGTAGCTACTCACCTGAATGAGTGGCTGACCGGTAAGCCGATCGGACACCGTCCTCAGCACCTGTCCAGCCGGGCCGTCACCACTACCAGCCGCATCTCCGATCTGCGACACCTTCAGACGACTGCCCGTGGTGTTCTCCAGGACCAGGTCGGCCAGAACACCGAGCACCGCGTCACGGGAGAGGGTGGCGCTCTCCGTCTGAGGGAGAGAGATAAATCGAGCGATCTTTGAGTCAGGTAACATATGTTCTTCTTCATCTTCTGTTTGTTCGTGGTTGCTTCCTGTTTGTTTTTTGTTTTGTGTTGTTGCTGTTTTTTACTTCAATAATCGTCCTCAGCCTTCCTTATCAGAGCGCTGTGTGACATGACTGCTATAAAACCGGATTTATACTTAATTGCGTGTCAACCATATCCTTCATTAAAAAAAAAAAACGTTCGCACTGAATCTACTCGTGTCCAAGGAGTTTCACGTGAGTGTTCAGTGAGTTCACTGAGTATCCTTTTAATATGGGCAACGATTTGGAAAGGCTCGAGGGAAGAGTCTGCAATTATCATTCAAGAAGTCCGTATGATGTCTCACCTTGTCAAAGTGTGGGACGAACTGATAGGTCTCCACCAGCGGAGCGGCCTGCGCGTGCCGACGGGAGGTGAGCGAGGACTTCAGTCCGCAGATCTCCACGGCCGGGCAGCAGACGGCCTCCAGGGAGCGGTCGTAGGTCACCGGTATGTCGGCGCCCTCTGTGATACAGAGAGATCATGACATGAGGCCATGGCAGGTCATGTCAGCGCCTTCTGTTATACAGGGAGATTATATGTAGGTGATCGGAACGTTGCACATTTGATACATACCTATAGGAGGGTCATGGCAATGAGAGATAAAAATAATCAAGGATGACTTGAGCCAATCAGATATTTCAGGATTATGTTCAATAATAGAAACTGAGCTGGTTCAGCCAAATGAACGGCGGTTGATTGATGCTTCTCCCGTTTCCGTACCGGTTCCCCTGACGTTTATTCGATACCTGGCAGATTTCCTAGCTATCTCCCCGTTACCTTTCAAGCTTACTGTTCCCGTCACCGTGCTGCAGTCTCTGTCATCTGTTTTCCCCATTACCTGTCACACTGTCGAGGTGTTTGCGCGGGTCGATGGCCATCCTCTGTAGCCGGGTGGGCAGACCGAGCACCCGCTGGTCCCGGCCCAGAATGGAGAACTGCAGCATCGTGTCCAGGAACGACACCCAGCTGCCGTGCCAGCGCAGCAGGCCCAGACCCTCTGTGTGGAATGCCAGGGACAAGTCAGAGCCACGACACAGTTGACTGCAGAGAGGGGCAAGGAACGGGCAAGGAAAGCATTACCTATCAAGTAAAGGTACTCAGCAAACTCAGCCGACAAGTTAGACACAGAGAGCGAAGTCAGTTTGACACAGGTAAACAGAATAACACGCTAAGAACGGGAAAATGTGTCCAGAGACCACATCGAAAGGAAATACATTTGAAACAAAACAATTATAAAAACCATTAACGCTTAGACGAATAGTTACTCAAGAGGTATGTACGTTTGTCATGCAGCAATACCCATTCACTCGAGTCTCGAACTGACCTTTCGGCTGCGCCTCCGTGATGCCCTGGAAGAGACCGGTGTACTCATATCCCCTCAGACGGAGTTCCTTGTATACGTCCCGGGTCTTCAGAGTCACTGACTCCTCTCCTGGGGATAGAACGACATCCGTGGATACCGTCATACGGTGTACAAACACACACTCAAAATGGATTATTTGTACTAATGAACGAGTGGACGCAAAGCGCATTCCTGTCACGGGAATTAAAGAGCCGCTGGAAATACATACCTCATAACTTATTGGTGACGCAACGCAATCCGTGACATCGTGTCGCATCACAAGTCTTTAGGTGTCAGTGTAAAACGAACGTATCGTGTCGATATAATCTCTTTGTCCGATATGACACCTACCCTTGAGTCTGCCCAGTTTCTATCCTTGACACCGTACCAATGTCACTTTTGAATCAGTGTCAGTCTCATCCATTCGTCACTCACCCTTGGTCCTCTGAGCGCCCATGTCGGTGACCAGCTGGTGGGTCGGTCCCAGCGGCGAGTCCAGCCTCCTCACATACCCCTCCACCACTGGGGCGTCTCCCTCACAGATCTCAAACCGTCCCGAGCCGTCCAGGAGAGATACGGTGAGACGCACACGGTCTGGGGGATAGAGCGGGTCGGTTAGGGTAGTCGCTATCGTCGTCTTTTAACTTCATTTGAATGTCAAAATACACCACGATAAATGCCGCTATGCCCCAACTATACCCCAAGGCACTTCGATATACTATACCTGAATACCGATTACCCGTTACCCGATGGCGATTACCAATATTACTCTCTTTATATCCATGGCCATTATACTCGATAAATACCCATACAATCCAACTAATAATCCCATTCCGAACCATGACCCTTCGTCTCTCAGTCTCAAGTTTGTTTCGCCACTCACTGTCGGGAGTGAGGATGGTGGCCCTCTTCAGCGAGACGTCCCTGAACTCCACTGGAGTCTCCTCCATCTGCTGACCCAGACTCTTGGCCAGCGCCCGCCATACCAGCACCTGGGCAAAGGTGACGAAAAACGAGTTATCACTCCTATAACGACACTCTTGGTGAGCTCTATCCAAGCAAGCATCTGATTGAAGAAAGATGAGCAAATATAAAAATAATATAAACTTACAAGAGCAACTCTTACCATCTATAATAATAATATAAAAATATGCAACAGTCTATTCGTCAGGAAGCTATTTCAGTGTCAGAATTACTCTCAGGATTGCAGAATTAATGAAATTGCGCCCAATGGCCACCGTACCTACTTCAAAGAGAAAATGCCTCTTATTCAAGAATAGGAAAAAAATACTTCTAAAGGTAGGATTACGGATTTAAATACGGATTACGGAATATTACGTCTCAGAAGTAAATATACATAGAATCATCAAACGAAGCCAAGCCGGTTTCAGTACCGTACCAGATATCCAGTGGCCGGGTGGAGACACCGTCCGTCGATGGTATGACCGGCCAGGTAGCTGTCCACCTCGGAGCTGATGTCACAGGTCACCACCAGGTCACCGGCCGACCCGGAACGCTCGCTGTGGGGACAGAGGTCAGGTCAGGCCAGTTGTCCGCCTCAGAGCTGATGTCACAGGTCACCACCAGGTCACCCGCCGACCCAGACCGCTCACTGTCGGTGCAAAAGGTCGGGTCAGGCCGGTTCATTCGTCCAATTCAAATGACGCATGAAAAGAGCAAAATTAAATGCTGTTGAAAATCACCAACAAAAATACGGTCCCACATACAACCGCTCGCTTTGCTCGATCACTGCTAATCAACAAACCTACGGCTAAAGAACTTTTAATCGTTAATTATGTCCAGCACATTCCGTAATTCCCCGTTCTTTTAATTAATCACATCATGCATTTCCAAGTTACCTGATGACACCGTAGCACGGCATTTCGCTATGCGTAATTCCCCACATTCCGTGTTTTTCCGTTACCTGAAGTAAGTCAAATCCCTTCTTCCCCGGTTACCTGAAGTCGGCCACGTCCCAGGCGACTCCATGGTCCCAGCCAACACGGTGGGAGATCTGTGGTGTACCGCGGCGTACTGGCAGCGGTACAGACGGGTACAGAGAGGTGACAGATGGGGCCAGGCCGGCCGAGTACATCCTGTGAGGGGCAGGGGCGGGGTGAGGTCAGGGTATACATAAGCAATGGGGAGTTCTAACACGTGTCCTAAAACTGCATGGAACGTTTCCAGATAAACAATTCAGTCAGAGCGGATCATTAAAAAAAAACTAATTCCAAACATGAATACATTCAGGATAAGGCTAAGCCAACTATGTATACGTTACAACGATTCGCGGTATCATTCAACACTTAATTATTCATTCTACAATGTCATTCAACATTGAATTCAATCGTTCAGCATAAAAAGACTCGTATGCTTCCTTCTATCTACTCACGCTCCAACGCTGCGCAGGAAGAACTCCACGTTGTTAGATGCCGTCCGTTTGTTCAGTCCGAGAATGGTACACGAGCTGGGCAGGGATCGTTTGAGAATGGCCTGCAGCAGGCAGTGGGGCGCCACCTCCAGCACGACGGCTCCCTCGGGCACGTGCCGGAGAGCGTCCTGGAACAGCACTGCCAAGACACATGGGGTGAAGAGTTAGACGTGTGGGTAGTAATTAGAGACGATCAGAAAAGACTAAAAACGACCAGAACTGGTCAGATGTGGCGAATGGCCGCGTCTGACCGTTCCTGCTCGTCTTTGGTCATATTTGATCGTTCTGCTCTGGCCACTGGCTAATCATTATCAAAGAGGATCAAATTCAAAATATTCAGATAGACGATGTGATAGAGGCCGAATGAGATACGGTTACTTCAAGAAACGGGACGACAATTTTTAGATGGCCGTACAAAAAAAAAAACGGGTGACCGCAGTTTGAGACTGATGGACCCAAGTTTGAGATTGATGGACCACCGTGCAGTTACCATAACCACACTAACTTTCTTCCGAGTATCACTTGTTACGTACCCGGGTTGACGAGGTTGTTGACGTGGTAGGCAGCCGAGGAGGTCTGCGCCAGCGGCAGAGACCACGACTCCTCCGGGATGGAGGAGCTCACCCAACGGGATGAGCGAGGCCGGGGGCACGGGATAATCTGTGGGGAGACGAGGGGGACAATTTTAGTCATAGCGATAATCGGGCAAGTTTTCTTGTTTCAGGGTGAACCATTCGTCCACAATGCCATTCAGGATTCAACAGAGGCTAGAGATAATCAAACGGCATTCAGCATAAGAATACTTTTATAATTAATGCAACCAACCGAACAACCCTATTAGCAAAAATGCAATTTTATTGTGCATACTAATTTCATAACTAAATAAACCAGCAAATGATACAGCTACGACATATAAGAAAATATAGACAAACAAGGACGTGCGATTCAGTGCGATTTAGTCCGATCCGATTAGGTTGGCCCAGTCCCAATTTATCCCAGTTCGTACCTTCTCCAGCGCCTCTCGCAGTCTGGGTGCCGCCTCGGCGATGTACCTCGAGTGGAACGCCACCCCTGACGAGTTCACCATCCTGGCAAACACTTCCTCCGACTGCAGCTGCGCCACAAACGCCGCCACTGCGTCACTGGGTCCGGATACTGTGACGGAATCGGCGGCGTTCTGGCAGGCGGGCACCACACCGGGCGGGCAGCGGCGACGCGCCTCCGACCAGCTCAGACCTGTGACGGGGGGGGGGGGCAAGTTAGCAAGGGGTAGACCACTCATAGAAAGGTGAGAAAGAGGGTCTCAAACGGGCGAGGGACATGCCAATGGGCTGCCAGCTACTGCTGTTGACTGTTTCCTGAAAGGTCTCCGTGACTTGAAGAAGTTTGTCTATGTAGTTATTTCTACCTAGTACGTAAATTGACTGCGAAGAGGTATATGACTGCGATCATTATTCGTTACTGTTGCTGCCGGCGACTATGAAAAAAAGAATACAAATAGCAAAAACATGTTATAGACCGTTAAACGGAAACACGGCGGCAGCGCCTATTTTGACGACTATGACTGTTTCCTCTCCTATCACTACTTTTACACACACCAGAATTCAACAAAACATCAACAACTACAATCAACAACAACAACAGCAGCAGCAGAAGCAACACCAATAACTCCACCGCTCCCACCAACCTACCGACGGCAGCCATGGCTCCTGGCGGCAGGTTGGCCTCTGTGATGCACACGCCTCTCCAGTAGGCGGCCAGCACGGCCTGTTCCGCCGAGAACGACCCATCGGCGTAGGCACAGCCGAGTTCTCCCACCGAGTGGCCGACCAGGCCGTCGATTTGGAGCTCCAGAGAGCGGAGCAGGTCGATCAGACAGACCTGGATGTGAGGGAGATGGGAGGTCGAGGGTGAAGTCAGCACCGACAGAATCGCTGGAGAGTGGAGAAGCTAAGTTGAAGTCTCAGGAGATGCGGGAAGGGAGGAACTAACAATAACTAACAATTCAGCTATGGCATTCGTGTAAGTATCGATCCCCAATACTTCCACAAATGCCTTCCTACAGTTACATGGAATAGAATTGAAGCATTGCATACGACATTTAAAATATGCAGTGTTGTTTGTTTATATTCAGCACAACAATGCACGGCAATGGGTAACAGTGAGCAACAGTGTTGACGAGTTCGAGTCTCCGGGAGTCGCACAAGAACCGACCTGGATGGTAGCGATCAGCACGAAGGCGTTTGTTGTGCGCTGGAAGGCCGTCTCGTCGTCAGAGTGCAGCAGCTCCAGCAGGCTGATACCGTGCGGACGCACCGCCTCGGCACACCTGGTAACGTTCGGGGAGGGAGAAAGGGGTGTCAGTGATCCCTCATGAGCATCATGAGCATGGTCACAATAAAGGAAGCTAGGGGTATTGTAAAAAGTCAAAACGGACATCGATGCAGCACGCACTTGCATGATGTTGCTTTGCTTATAAAGAAATTAAGAAGTCAAAGTTTGAACTTTCCTTGAACTCACTTTGCTAAGCTAGGCGATCTTTTGCCCTCTTCTGCATGACTCGCCTCTTACCACTGATCCCGGCATAGCCATAATACTCTATCTTACCCCCCCCCCCCAAACACACACGCACACACTAAGTAAGGACCCTGATTACCCGGTCTCACCTGGCGAAAGCGGCGCTGAAGGCGGGGAACACCATGAGTTCCCGACCCATTCCCGGCCACTGGGAGCCCATACCGGAGCACACCAGCCACAGGGGTGGGCGGTCGGCGGAGCACTTCTGTAGGAGGGAGTACGGGGGAGCACAGTTAGAACACAGTCACAACACATCATGATCACAGAGCTCAGTGGAGAACAACACAGGGGTGGGCGGTCACCGGAGCACTTCTGTTGGAGGGGAGCACAGAAGGAGCACGATTAAAGCAAAAAAGGAGAATGCATAGGGAACACAGAGGACGGCTGGAACACACAGGTCAGAGGTGAGAGGGAGGCATCAGTAGAGCAGAGTGGCAGGGCCGTTAGAACACACCAAGAGCTCAAAGCACATGTGAACTGTGCGGTCAATAAGGAGAGCAGACTAATATAGGTGTCCGTCTGATGATTTAGGTGCTTGCCACACTGTACATATGTAATTTGAACGGTATCCATATCCACATCTGAACGACTTCCGACCAGGACAAGTGCAATATCCTTGTCATTCAGAACAGTATCAGTCAGTATCCCTATCCTTTAGGACGGTATCGGTATCCCTTCCCTATCTTTCGGCGCAGTATCCTCACCTGAGTCTGCACGGTTCCGGACCCGGACACAGTGTATCCGCGGTATCCGTGTCCAGGACTGGCCTGCTGGTGTCCGGCCATCGTCAGGGCCCACAGCTCGGGGTCATCGGACGAACCGCTCAGGGGGGAGAGCATACGCTCCACCGCTTCCTCGGTGCGCCCTACGGGAACGGACAACATGGAAATAGTGTCAGCAGACAACGAAGAGATAGCGCTAAAAGACAATGAGCAACAACACCACAACACGCAGGCTGCTCATCAGCCAGAACGCTAGCAGCATCAAATGGTACAGACATATTTTAACGTTACAACTGCATCAATAAAAAATAAATATAGGTACATGCATAGACCGTACATGGAGTTCAACAGACGAATATAACTGTGGAAAAACGCATGGCTATTTGTTTACAGTCAATACGGTGATTACCCTTTTCAATGCAAAAGACCAACTTCAATCGAATGATTGCGACATAAGCGTTTCTCTAACAATAACGTAATTACAAAAAGTTTCGCCCGTAGAGCAATACAAAATGCCAATGAGCCCATCTCACTCATGTCTATCAGAGTATAGCTAGAAATACAGCGATTCTACCCAATCTCCCTTCCCTCTGACTCACCAGAGGCCACGGTCAGTCTCGCCGGCGGCGCGGGGCTGTCCACCGGGAGCGGACCCGGCCGCCGGGCTCCCTCCGAGCGCAGGATGACGTGGACGTTCGCTCCGCCGAAGCCGAAGGAGTTGATACCCACGTAGCCGCCCGACCAGGGTGTGTTGGAAGACACCACCTGTTGGAGGAAAGAGAGGGAGACGGAGGACGGTCTCAGATTTGAATGATTTCAGGCTATAGAGTTACAGTAGACGGAGACAGAAGACGTATCGAGAAGCGATGACTGGGTATGCACGGTAAGTGATATAATTTTATCAAACTTCGCATCAAATAAGCTATGTTTGCTTAACTCTAATGTATGTATATTTGCAGCTTAACAACAGAGCAAATCTTTTATCTAAGAGCGTCCTTTATCCAACACGTTCAGCACACCGATTTACAATAGCTGGACAACATAAGGTCATCGATGTCTCGTTTGACAGTTACCATACCGATTTCTCCTATTACCACAATACATTGGCGATTTAACTGTTCATCTACGACCCTACCCATTACTCCGTTTCTACTCGCCTGAATGCGTCCATCGTGCAGGGCGTCAATGTCCGGGTTGGGCTGACTGAAGTGGAGGTTACCCGGGATGACGCCAGTCTCCATAGCAATCAGCACCTTAGCCACCGAGCACAGACCTGGGAACGAAGGACACCATGGTCAATGGTCGCTGGTCAGATGGTCAGACGGTCAGATGTCTTAGGCAGATGTCTTGATCAGACGAGACGTCTTGGTCATTAAGTAGATGTGTGAATGGTAAAGCAGGATAGTCAATACTCATTTACCTCCAATTCGGCTCTGGTTCTAGAACAAGTAGTTATAGAGTGTAGACTGTAGAGTGAGACGATTTCATAAGATTACCTGCAAACAAATAAAAAAATGATAGACGAACAGATCAAAATATCAGATAAGCCATTCTCCTTTCTTTCTTTTGCGTTTCTCTATTTTATTTTCTTTCGTCACCACCCAGCTCGACTTACCTGATGCGGGCTCGGAGTGTCCCATGTTGGATTTGACGGATCCGAGCAGCAGAGGGGTGGTGCGGTCCTTACAGAGGGCGTCCGTGATGGCGCCCACTTCGACCGGGTCACCGACCTGTAGATAGGGGTCAGAGAGGTCACATAGGTCACAGACAGAGATCATATACATAGGTCACCGATCTGTGTACAGTGCACAAAGGTCAGAAGGGTCACATAGGACCTGCGTACACGGGGTCAGAGAGGTCACTGACCTATTACAGGGGGTCAGAGAGGTCACAAAGGTGACCGACCCTTGGACAGAGGGTCACAGAAGTCAAATAGAGGTCACATAGGTCACCGAACCGTGTAGAGGTCATAGAGGTCACATAGGTCACCGGGCCTGTGAAGAGAGGTTAGAGAGGTCATATAGGACAAGATCTTTGTGCAGAGATCACAGGGCAAAAAGATCATTTAAAGAGGGTCACAAAGGTCACAGAGGTTTCCAAAGACCTCCTCATCACTGGCTGCCAATCACACTTTGTCACAGCTCACAGGTCATGGCGTTCCAAAATTAATAAAGCCGTTTCTGAAAGCTCTCGCTGCATAGTGTACACCAATTTACCGGTGATACGAAAATTATTGAGAAGTTGATGATTTTTCTCACCTTGGTGCCGGTCCCGTGTGCCTCCACGTAGGCGACCTGACTGGGGTGAACTCCGGCCTCAGAGTACACCTCCTGGAGCAGCTGGCGCTGCAACTGAACATACGAGAGACAAAGATCAGAGTCAGCTGTGGTAAAGGAAATCCACACCGTAGTTAAAGCACCGGCCAAAGCTGCACCAGAATGGCCAAACGACTGCTAAAACTTTCCGAAACGTTTGCAAAATGACCGTTTAATCGATGCAGGGAACGTCAAATTCATACCATCACTCAATCACCTTGAACCAACAAAATCTTTTTTCGCTTGTAACAAAGCATCCCGCATCTTTGATATTTGTTACATTTGTTCTACGCAAGTACCGGAGCGAAGCAATCCACCTCCTCCCAAAACTGAGCGAAATGGTAGGCTGTTGTCTGCTTATCGCTTCATCAGACTGAATTGCGGACTAGGCTGCTATCTACTAACCTGAGTCGACGGATAGGTGATGCCCTGATCCTTAAACCCGTCCGTGTTGGCCTTGCTGTGTACCAGGGTGGCGTACACTCGGCGAGCGTTCTGGGAGCGCTGCAGGAGCACGGCTACGGCCGCCTCGGAACGGACGTAGCCAGAGCCTGGGGGAGGGGAGAGTGACGGAGTGAGAGGGGGATTGGTTTGGGGCATTGGTTAGGTTAGGGAGGATTCGTTTGGACAGAGGGTGGGAAAAGAGAGATAAAAATATAATAAGATATATAAATAAGATGGGAAAAGATAGATAAAAATAGAGATAAAAATACGATGTAAGATGGAATGGAAAATACCTAAATTTGGGAAAGAAAGAGGGAAAAGAGAAGGCGACAGGGAGAGAGAAAAATAAAGTGGAGAGAGAGAGAGAGAGAGAGAGAGAGAGAGAGAGAGAGAGAGAGAGAGAGAGAGAGAGAGAGAGAGAGAGAGAGAGAGAGAGAGAGAGAGAGAGAGAGAGAGAGAGAGAGAGAGAGAGAGAGAGAGAGAGAGAGAGAGAGAGAGAGAGAGAGAGAGAGAGAGAGAGAGAAAGAGGGAGACCGACTTACCAGTGGCATCAAACGCCTTGCACTTTCCCTCAGCTGAGAGCATGTTGAGCCGAGCGAAGTGGAGAGAAGACTCGGGTCTCAGACACAGGTTCACACCGCCGACGATGGCGGCATCGCACTGACCTGTAGAGGAGTAAATATGGTAAGTTAGGGGATGATGGTAGGGGAAATGGTTATAGCAAGTCAAGTCAGTGATAAGCGGCATGTCAACTCAAGAACGCAGCTGCATACAGGTAAGGTCAAAAGGAAGCGATAAGTTACTGCGTAATGGCAGGTTAGGCTAACGCATGACAATTGCCCAAATTAGGTCAGTGATGGGCTCGATAAAAAATAAAATAAAATATAGCTGTTAAGACAGGCGACTTACCAGTGCGCATGCAGAGTAGAGCATTGTTGAGAGCCAGTAGAGACGACGAACAAGCGGTGTCCATCGCATAGCTCGGCCCTGAGAACGAATTGGAGCGAAATTAGAACACAGGATAAACCCAGTGTCGAGCGATTAAACCGCTTTTCTTATGGCGTCATGTCTTTTATCTATGTATATGAATCCCTATCTTAGGATATGCCATGGAAAACACTGAATTATATAAATCTCAAATCCGCATGGCGATAGTTAGCAGAGCATTACAATTAAGTTCGCAGAAACTTTCAAAAACACAACAAGCCGACTTTTCACCGAATAGTCGAGAGGTGCAGCGGCAAGGGCTGAAGTGGACTGTCCCTTGCTGTTGAAATGAAAGGCGTTTGTACGATTAGCGAACAAATGAATGTAGGGATGGCCATGCGGTTGGTGAACTTCGCTATTTGACCAGCCGTTGTTACAGGCAACGGATCAGTAATTCGACTTTTTAACTTAAGTCTTCATTTTACGTGTTATGAAAATTGAAAGGTAAATTAAAAAAAAAATAGAACTGCTGCTCAGTTACCGGTAATAACGGCTGGCTAAACAGCAAACATGGCTCTTGACCGATTAAGGCGAATTCTGTTAGAAGTGACCGAAGTGAAGTTAAAGACGCTGGGAACCCACCGTTAAAGTTGAAGGTGTAGCTGACGCGGTTGGCGAACATGGCCCTGTTGGTGCCGGTCAGGCCGTAGCCGTTGATGAGGTCCGGATCCTCGGAGACCTTGGTGTCCGTCTCACTCTGCGACACACCGATAAAGACGCCCGTGCGGGAGCCGCGCAGCGACTGCGGACTGATACCTGTGGGAAGAGAATAGAGGGGTCACAGATAGGAAAACGATGCCAATGGACATCCTCAACTCAGGTTGAAGCATTGAGACGAAAGAAGTTACGAAATAAATGAATGATATCATCACGAATAACGGTAGAATGAGCGATACTCTGTAATAACCCAAGTATTTTGGAAGAAATCGGGAGAGTTACATCGTGGTGCACGAAACATTGAAAAACTTATATTTCAACAGTTAACGCTGATAAGCAAAGCGAAAGCGAAAGCGAAGTAAAAAAGGACAAGTGAGCAAAAACGATCACAATTAACATAATGTTAAGCTTCAGAGTTCGTGCAACGTAAATGCGTCGAAGCCATTGAACCAGCCCCCGAACAGAGTCCCAGCACATGGAGTACATACACCAGCGACCCCTTCCCCTTCCTCTGCGCACTAACCAGCATCCACAATTGCCTCATGAGTGAGCTCCAGTAGCAGACGCAGCTGAGGGTCCATCTTATGAGCCTGCTTCGGCGACACACCGAAGAACGAGGCGTCGAACGAAGCCAGGTCCTTCAGCTTTCCGGACCGCTTCGGCAGGCCAAACACGCCTGGAGATAGACGGCAGGTTCGTCAGCACGATGAATCACTAGTGGACTCTTTGACGTGTATAACTATGCTTACGACGGTATTTGGGGTAGCCCTGTAGCGGCCCACGGGTACGATAACTAAACATAGTGTAAGGGCACGCCACGAAAAATGTGGCTCTTATAACATTGAAGTTAACAAATATAACGATGACTTCTTACGGCAGCATTCTGGGAAGAAAATCTTCATTTAAAAATTGTTTAGGAGATGGAGGCGATACCCTGGCTCCGATGTCGGGCTATTGTTGCTATGCTGACATAAATAATCGTTTACACTTCACTTGAACACATCTACATGTATCAACAAAAGGGAAATCTCATCCTCTTTCTCAGAGAGTTAGTCGCCAGTAGGACTGACCTCTGAAACCTTGACCACCCGTGACCTCTCTGACCCCTACCGCACTAACCAGGCGTGAAGCGGCGTCCGTCATCAGTCACCATGTCCACGCCGCCGAACAGGTTGTCGGCAAACTCCTGCATGTTCTCCGACTCGGGAAACTTGCCGCTGATGCCGCTGATGACGACATCATCGGCCAGTGACGCCAACTGCACACGATGCGGTGCCTGGGGAAGATCAGAAGGTTAGTCCTTGTTATACATAATCACAACTTTAAGCCTGTTACTTTGAGCTGTCCTTGTGTTTAAGCTGTATCTTGGAATCACCAAAAACAGACAGTACAATGGTTGTTGACAACCGGCATATCCGGTGTATGCAAGCTCGGTTTAAAACACAAATGTTTCCCCAGTCTGTTTATGCAATGAATGCAAGCCGGGTTTACTAACCTGACATGTACTCAGTCCCAGTCACCGAATCTGTCGTCTAAGGTGGTTAGTGGTAGTGACCTGACTTGACCTCCGATCAACCCCTGTGACCTTCTTTTACTTCTGATCGATCCCTGTTACGTGATAGACCTCTGATCAACTCCATTGACCTGGCCTGACCTCTGATCAAACCCAGTGACCTGACCTGACCTCTATGTTGACCCCGGTGACCTACCTCTGGCTCCACGGCCGGTGCCGGCTCTCCGATGATCGGAGTGCTACTGTCCGGAAATTGAGCAGGCATGGTTGGATCTGTCAGAAAAACAAACAGAACATAAACGGTCAGCAGTTTCATCTAAAGTTAATGCTAGCGCGTATACACAGTGTATGGCTAACGTTGATTAAGCAGGTTTACACAATACAAGCATTCTAAGGATGGACATCCCATGACGTCTAGCAGGTGACAGATACTAAAACAGGGTCAAACACCTTGGAATACTTATTACGGCTAAGACGTTTCTGTACACAATTACTGAACTAAAACAAGGATCTTGGTACTGGTTCATCCGGCTTTCTTAGACATGATTATGTATAGACACCTGTTCGACGCATGTTAAAGACGCATAACAAGGTTTGTTAACCAGCATTGACGCCAACATCATCAGTTCATGAAAGCGGGATTTACATGGATGTAGCGCAGCGTTACGGATACTAAAACGCAACAAAATATCCATCCCAGTGATGCCAGTGTGCTAAGAATAAATCATCCCCACGTCTAGCACAACACGTTTATCATGACGCCTTTTAAAGGAATTAAGCTCGAATAGTTAAAATGGCTGGCTGGGATGCGGCTGCTAAGATCATCAAGATTTATTGCGAGTGAGATCGCGGATTCGAATCCATGCATTTGAGATTCGGAGAACGCGAATTCGAATCGAATCCTCGTTCATGGTAAAATGTGCCGGCAAATCAAGGAACAATAAACGGGACGATGAAATTGTTTACTGCGCCCGTATACCTGTCCCTTGATATAAGATGTTTGCTATATTAATTTCATAAAATATAATTCCTACAAACGGTCCTCCGTTTGTAGGAATGGAGTATGGACAAAGAATCAAGTCATCTGTGGGTCCGTTATGCTTTATTTGCAGCACCAGTGACAACCCGCTGACAAGTCACGGTCATGAGCGTTCATAACCGAAAAACAGCGCACTCTACACACTTTATCGATGCCCCATCTCAGGCCACGGTAACAACGGATAAGTGGAACGGCAAAAAGCCTAGCCACGGCGCCGTCTTTACTACGATAGAGCAGTATCCATATGACGCCGTTTTAAAAAGCATGGACTGTTATTTGGACATTGTACATAATTGTGGCGGAACGTCATTACCTATGGGTCGATATACATAATTACAGTGTATAACAGAAAAAAACGCTATGTTTGAAAGGTTAATAATGAGCACAATTATCGAATAAATATACCTTTAGGTTAAAAAGGTAATCACTTATAACTTACAAGTGTTAAATGCATACAGCAGCATTTGAGGAATATATCCCAATGGACTGTATAAACTTTCATTATATTAGTAGGCATCGACTTTTCATAACTTTTTGGCTTTAATTCATCGATAATAATGAGCATGAAACTTATGAAATTTGCTGTCATTGGTGAAACAATTAAATGTTAGCTGCAGCCATCATACAAATCACGCTAATGAGAGGGACGCTGCTAATACGAACACATGGCACGATACACATTTGCATGTCCGAAATGAGCGAGAAGAGCGCACGATCACCCGCCCACCGGTTTCTGCTCCTATCTACAGCAACGGCAGACGGCGGCACAGTTCTATAGCCTTGGGCGGCACATGACCAATTAGAGATGTCAGTCGGATACCAACTTTTTGGTATACCAATACCAAACCGATACCAACTTGGTACGTACCTATTTGGTATTTCAAGGCGAATGAATTTGGTAAAAACTTGGTATATCCCTCATATTTACAAGTCGGTTCGGTTTCGGTATTTTCCATGGGTATTGTTGGTATTTGGTTTGCCTTTGGTATCGGTATCACAATTTTCCGTAACTGACATCACTATGACCAATACTTCCAGGCCGATATCAGCTCCGCCGGAGCCACCTCGTTGGTTGGTCGATCGTTACAGTTGGAATTGGTTCGTTGTGGGGTTAAACGCTATATCCTGTGCTAGCCGGAATTCTCGCATGTTTCCAGGGGTCGTGTCGTGGAGCGACATGGGACCATGTGTTTTGTAGTATAGAGATTGCCAGCGAAACACGTAGGCGTCACGGGAATTAGTAAACCGTTTGACGCATGATTTATCATCAACATACACATGTATAAGTCCTCATTGCAGGCCAAGTCATTGGCCATAAAGGAGGTAAGGAACTTGTAACATATAGACCAGACTGCACCCCGTGGCCATCACATAGGTACCGGCACGGTGACTATAAATAGGTACCGGCATTCCCTGAATTGTTTCATTACCATCCTCGACCCTCATCTCGCCTTTCGGAGAAGAGAGTAGCGGCCAGACCAGACCCTCACCTCATCTGTCTCAGGAAAGAGTAAGGGATACCGACCGAGACGACCCACAACTCGTCTTCCGACTGGATAAAGTAAGAATCGGAGAACCAACCCTCATATCGTCTATTGGAGGAAAGAGTAGAGTTAAGTCGACCCTCGCCATCTGTGTAGGAGATAATGTCGGAAAACAGACCCTCACCTCGTCTGTCGAACGGTAGAGCAGCGGAGAAGTACCGGCACCGACGCTCGCTCCGTTCCTCTCTCCCCGTCTCACCGTCCCGAGTTGAGGGGCCTAACTGACCCGTCGCGCCGACCACCGACCGATCTCGTCTAGACGGCCCTCCGACGACCACAAAAACCACCCTCCGCCGCCGCCGCCAGAGGGCGTGCCGACGCCGTGATGGGGCCGTGACCGTGCCGTGAAGATGGTCAGATGTGTGACGTCACACTGGTGACCGGTGAGGTCATATAGTGGTCGGTGCGGTGACGTCACTTCATGGATGCAAGGCTAGGAATCCGAAGCCGAACTGATATGGCAGAAACATTTGCAGATTGGTCGAACAGAGGAACCAGAAAGGGCATCGGGTTTCAACATATGTCATATGACCTTTATATTTCAAGAGTAATTCGGGACAAAATCCATTCGTGCCAAACGATTCCGAACTAAAGTGGAGGAGGTGAAAATACAAAGTTTATCATATAAGTATGTGAGATGTATCTCTGGCGAAGTGGGACCAATATTCGCTACAGACAGCTACTCTTTTGTTCTGGTAAGAACACGACTGCGATGTCCCTAGCTCCTATTCCAGCTTACATTGTTCACCAATCAGACGCAAGCCGTCATGAAACAGCTCAAAGTCAAATCACTCAACCACGGGACAGTAGGCCACAGGAACTGTGTGGCCGTTTGCACCCGTCCGACTACACCAGAGCACAGGCGTCTGGCGTAAGCCTCCCTATCCGTATCTGCGCCTTAGAGGCCGAGGAGACACCGAATGGTTCACGGGAAATGGCCTGTACCTATATACATTGCCTCAAAGTCAGGACGAACATTAGCCCGAATACGGGGGATATGGCGGTAACGGAAACGGAGATGCATAAAGAAGTGGCATATCTATTACCAACTACAATAGAGGTCATAGATATAGAACAGGCCTTGCGAGGCAGAGAGACCCCGGAAAAGAGCGAATCGTGAACGGACTCAAAGGGCGGCGGGCGCCTGAAACACGGGCTAGATTCACTGTTATCGCATAAGCGCAGACGAACCTTCGTGAAAGGTCGAACCGAGAGGATCCGAGTTCAGGAACTGAGGTGGAGAGGCGTTCTTAGCCCCGCGTACCAGCACGCAGCATCAGTAGTTGGTGTAATGCTATGCGGAGATTGAAGAGAGCATACCTATAGTAATGCCCCATACCCGGAACTTTCTGTTGCCTCGTTCCATGGCATCATGGCGAGCGAGGCGGTAGCAATAAGCTTATAACGGTCAAAAGCAGCCACTCGGCGCTATGAAAATCCGCGTACGTGATTTGAAAGTCGATGCTACGTCATGCTTGTTTACCTATGATTGCAGACAAACGTTCGTCGAATCACGCGAAAGCCATGAACAATTGAACAGCTCACATGGTACGATACGTGCCAGCAGTAACGTAAGATACGGTACAAGGGCTTATCGTAGCAGCACCCGGATTTGCCAATCTACCATGAATTGAAGAATTACTCACGATTCAGCAGCGTAAACGTGAAACATCGAACCAATAGTACGCTATCCATTAATGTGTACCTATATAGCATAAATGCCATTCTTATCGAACTAACCGGGATGTGTGTATGATTATGTACAATGTTAATTGTTAAGAATCTATTTAATCGCACGTATGCGTACGTCCGTTTGTTATATTTCCAGACATACCAATAATTGGAAGTAGGTATGTAACACTAACACGTACTAACTATTCAGCTTTACGCCTAAAAGACGATCACCCAAGAACTGAGAATATCCAGCCGGGAAAACGACGACGAGCGATCCACTTTTCTATCGGTAAAGCTCCCATTCACGTGCTTTGATCAAGTTCCCGAGCCTCATGGACCAGTTGCCCGGCTCTCCAGCCCCACGAACCGGTTGCACGTCTTGCTTACGTGATGTTACGTGGCCTCATAGAGCCCGGCGGGGGGGGGGGGGGTAGTGTGTCACAACAAAAACTGGCCAGCTGGCTGCGAGCGGTCGCTCACGCCGGTACCACGGCACTGGTCATGCTCGGAAACATGTCGAGTGCTCTCGGAGATGGGGTGGGGATGCTGCATGGAAACGGAAGGTCGTAGATGGTGTGGGGATGCTGCATGGAGACAGAGGGTTGGTGATGAGTGCCGTGTATCGATGTGAGTGTGATTCAGAGCGGTGAAGACGGGTCATGAAGCAGGCGGATGTTGCAGACGGTAGGAAACGTAACTTAAACCAAATACCGAAATATTCAGCCCAGGAATTAAAACGGAATAAGTATACTTATTCCGTTATACTTATAAATAAGTGCGAATGACGCACCTGACTAATCAAAATATCTTAATTACATTTCAAAACATTAAGAGACAGAGGAGCGTTGCACGCTCAATGCCCAAATAGGCTATACCTACCAATCGTACTTGAAGGAAGGTAGGTATAAAAGTACAACATGCTTGGCCGTTGGCCGAGGAATTGGAGCGGGAGCAAAAACGTCCGTCGTTCCTTGATGATTATTCTCGATAATTTGCGAACTTTTCGGTAGGATCAAAGAGAAAGTTGTTGTAAGGCCTATAAATCCATTTTTACATCGTCTGTTGAATTTATGCGAGTGATTTCATGAAAAAATCTCGTGGTTATATGACAGATTGTTTTATGTTCGAGCCGGTACCAAAAGTTAAAACGGTCATGTCATACTGAAACAAACAATTATTTCGGTATGACAAATAAGGATTTAACGATAAGAAAAACTGAGGCAGATCGGAATTCCAAAAGCTCGACGAAAGCCAAGATTCTGTGCACACTGGACAGAAAAAAATAGTAACACTGGGTCACCGACTCACCGGTCAATCGTTACGGTCACCAGTCAGTGGTCACTGCTCAGATTGGGATCAACACCGTCAAAGTGACTTATCTTTAACCTTGAATAACAACCGATGACCCATTCGACCCCTCCGTTACCGACTCCCATAAAACATAACACCTCGGTAATGGTCACACTATTACGTAAACTGCATATCGTCTGCGCACGTTCCGTTTATCAAACAAACCCTACAGACCCGGGGTCAGTGACAAGTCAGCGGCTATAGCCGACGGTTGGCCCCCAGTAACCACCCCTCCCATGGAGATATATCAACACACACGACAAAAACTCGTCGACAAAAACACAGCGAGATCGCTCTGACCTTGTATGTCGGGGTGGCCGGACGAAACTTTCCGCTGATTTGGCGAAGAAACGTCTTCACTCTTCACAGCGCCTTTGACGGTTCGTGAAGAGTTCGCACGGCACAGACAAGGCTCTGATATTCGTCGGCGGCGTCGCAAACGACGATTGAGTTTCGGAACGATGAAACAACTCGTAAGAGTCTGTACCCACGCCGCGGGCTGCGTGTGCCGTTTCCAGTCGTCTGCTGCTCTGGCCACCTGACCGCAGCCAATCAGCGCCGAGCAGAGCGGCCGGCTGACCAATCAGAACTCGCGGTCGGTCGGACCACGCTGCGCGCCGTTCGAAGCGGGGCGGATGATGGGGTTAGCTTTCCGGTCGGTCGAAACGGGGCGGGTCGGTCTATTGTAACGATCCCCGTTGCAGCAGACACGCGAGTATCACCTCAGGGTAGGTAATGACGTCACATTACGGCCGGTGATTCAGGTGACCTGAATAGTGACCATACGTAGGACGCGATCTGATGAATGGATGATGACCTTCAATGACGTCAGTGCAATGATAAGATAAATGCAATGATATATTTCGAATGACCTCAAGACTTCAAAGCCCGTTTAGTGAGGCCCTCAGAGGTGATCATTTTGGTCCCACCAACTACCAAGGAAGGGCCCAGCTCAGCCGGCCTTTCATAAAAGGAGAGAACCGAAATTCACGTCCTGGCTCCTGAACGGTCAAATGAACCATAGCTTACAGTTTAGTTTCTGGAGGTGTCGCAGCCTTGTGACCATAGCTGGAATTTTCTCGCCGAAAGGCACTAGAAACTAGAAAGCATTGCATGTTTTCCAAATCACATCGTCGAATTCATCCCAGGTCCCGGGTTCTGCGACGTTCCTCGGAAATACTTCTGGGCGGGTTGCAAAATTTCTTCCTCTCGCCCATCAGCTGCATGATAAGAGAGCAAAATACAAATGAATGCAGTGACAATAATTTATTCGCGACTTGAACAAATCACACATTAATTTAAATCAGTGCAAAGAAATACACAACCACAATATTTAACACATGCTTTTGCCCATTTTCTGCGCCTTTCTATTGACATAATATCATTTATCAGCAAGCATATACACATGACTCAGTGCCCACGGACCTCACCATGGTTCATGCACTAGCCAGGCCAAACGGTCACGTGATTCCCACAGCCTAAGCGCCACCATGCCACAGTATAAGCAAGCTAGCCAGGCCATAGTCACGTGACCTGTGCATGAGCGCCGCCACACTAGTTCACTTGGCTTAGTGTCGTCATTTTGGCCCGACCGATGCCCTCACTCGTCTTCAAGTATAGCCTTCTCTACAGCGCCTCCAAGACAGTCTTCCACAGGCTTGTACGCCGTTTCAGATAGTCTTCAACGTCTTCCTCGACATATCCGACAGCGTCTAAGAAGGCATTTCCAAACATCGTGTCTCACGCCGATCCTGAAATCGTCTCGAACGCAACACAATCTGATAGGTGCGGGCTCATTCTGTTACAAATTTCGACATGCGTTACGTACCGAGCCGTTGACATGACACAACACAAGCCAGTGACCGTATGACTACTTGAAGAGCTAGGCAATGTGACTGCAAATCAGCTGAGCCATGAGCTCAGCAGAGCTCCCTAGCCGATTCAGACGTATATACAGGGCCGGCGTGGGCCATCAGGCGGTATATTTCACCGATTTTGATACGGCTGATGCCTGATGGATAAAGTGGCAACTGGCACACATACGGATGTTTAGAGATTCAAAGCAGGCCTGGTTGTTCGGTTATGTGTACTGTAAGCGTTGTGTAAATATGACACTTGACATTACGGCGGTACCTCCCATCGACATTAAGAAAAGCCAACTAAACGAAGTGTAGACATCTTAAACTCTCAACTTAAGTAAGATAACACCAGTGAGCAAACGCAAGTCAACGAATAAACACATTGGGTTCAACGATCATACATCCGCATACCACTCACTAAAGCTTTCTGAGCTACCGACGAAACGCAACACATTCGCGAAACACCAGCTGACTAAGTGCCGCATAGTTCACTCTTGTCGACTAGAACGTCTTTCTCCAGTCTCTGTGCTGGTGTCGGTCCATCCAAAAGCGCTCCTGGCACCAGCAAAAACGAAGCATACGGTAGTTTGTCGCAAGCACTCCGCTTCGCACCAAACAAAGTCCATCGCGGGTCGGAAGTCAGCACATCGTAACGAACAGGCTCATCCGTCAACTCAGGTTGTCAGCACAGCCACCTTGGCGCCTTTCCAGCCAACGGGGAAAATGGGGCCAGTTACGCCACTCCCAAAGTCACAGGCGCCGGTATAGACCACCAAGAAACTCTCCTGAGGCTGCATGGGGAGGAATGGGGCCACGAAGACGCCTTCCCGGGCATCAACCAACTAGGTGGAGCCACTGTGCCGTCCTACTACGGGTCCCGGGCCTGGCAGTTGGCACCACCGAACCTTGTTCGACCGCAGGTGCCTGGAACTCCCTCAACCAAACACAGATCATTTGGTAGCCCAACTGGGCCCTCAAATTTCGAGGAGACTAGGTGGATACACTATGCCCTGCCTGATTGCAGGCGGCTTGGTGGAATCACTCCGAAATTTTCATAGGCCGTCAGTGAGATGGGTAGCGCAGCAAAACTGAGCCCAGCCACAGGTTGGTAGGTGGCAGCACTACACACGGCGTTTCTATATCTGGCGCCACTGTGCGGCCACACTGCTCATTCTTCCTTCTCGCGTGTGCCATCCCCCTCCACCTGTTTCTGCGGCCGAATCTTACTGGTTACGAACAGAATCGCCTCAGCCATGTACTTCTTGATGAGTCCGCGCTGCCTCAGGCCCGGATACATGACGATCCACTGGGCTAGCAGGTAGGCCAAGAACAAGTTGTTGATGTTGTTACCCAGCCAGGCTAGGAGAAGAAGCACGCCCACCATGCCGATGAAGTAGAGTTTGGGCTTCTCTTGTTTCCAGCCGGAGAGTTGGAACCAGCAGCACTCCATGCTAGTGGAGATATCGGCCAGTAGCTCACACATCCGCTCAAACTCCCTGTAAATACAGCCAAACATCACGATCTTATAGAGCCTACAAGTAACTACGGTCAAGACGCATACAAAAGTCGAACCTGTCTATCGCAGCAGCCTGCAGCTGTCCTAACCCGGCCTAAGGTCCATCGAATAATCAACGTCACCATCTTTTATAGAGCGAACTATGGGAAAAAAATTGAAATATCGCACCGTCTGATAAAAGAACGATTAGGTGTCATGTAATTTTATCCGATTGGATTGTATGCTTAAGGAAACACATGATAAATAAAATATTTAAGCATATCACAAATAGAACCAAAAATTATATATATTGCGGCACACCCGATCCTACCTCTCGTTGCTGGCGGTCCAATCCTGCGGCCGGAACAGGGCCTGACACAGAGCCGGCACCAGATAGTCGGCAGTGGTGGCCGTAACACCGAGGACGGCGACCAGGGTCAGCAGGGGCGGCTCCAGGTACCAAACCACACTGACAAACACAGACAAATGGGATATATTTCTCAGCAGAGGCAAAAGGGCGCTCAAGGTAACGCACCTCTCTGAATAACATAGTATATAGTATCAGCAGATTAATTTGCTCCAAGTATGCAAAGAGTCTTTCTCGAAAACACTGATACAAGAGGAAAGGAAGTACAGGTGAACAAAACCTGTTTGAACCTCTGTCTCCCCTTTCTCCCATCCTCATCGATCGCCCAGGTCAAGTGGTTCAGTGTTCAATTACAGTGACTCAAACTTTTACTTACCAGCCCTTTCTTGGTCAGGCTTGATATGGCCCCCTGCACCCTGTCGCAATACTTTCATGACAGACCGCACCACACCAACTGACCAGCAAGACAATGATCCTCATGGCCCATACTCACAGGAAGATGAGGGTGACGACAGCAGCCAGCAGTGGCGGGTGGTACTCGTGACGCCACACCAGTACACCATGCAGGGGCGCCAGCAGCTCACGCCAGTCTTCCAGGGCCCTCCGCAGCCTGCGAGTGCGAGCCACGTTCTCCTGTGGATAGAGTCCAACGTCAAGCAAGATAACTGTAGAGTAATCATGTAATAAAATATGACTTAGTAATAGGTATCACTCACCTTAATGGTATCTCTGGGATTGCTGAGATTATTCATCATAGAGTCTGAGCCACCGCTTTCGGTCATTCGCTTGCTGATCATGATGGTTTGGCTGGATAACTGTCCACCACCTGAAAAAGACAAATGACATGTAGCACAACCCTCTCAAGACATACCGTAAAATGGGGTGTTAAGGGACAGTGGGGTGTTAAGGGACAGTTGCATGGGAAAAACTTTGAGTCATATTAACTTTCTAATTTGAGAAGGTTCAATAAAAACTTCAGTGTGGTAGTTGACACTGTTTTGCTCTTGACCATAGGACAAAATGGTATGGTTTTTCATGCAAGTGATTTGGTTCAAAAATGGATTTGAAAATCATGCTACATTTTCACAAAATTGAAACATCTCCAAAACTCTGTGTGTACCACATAAACTAGTGGGTGTACAGGGAAAATGAATGCATAGGTGTATTGTCACATGTATTGCACATGTTTCCTGAAAAACTTGTGCAAATCCACCCATTCATTCATCATCCTCTTCCTCTTTTCCGGATACATGCGTATTTTGAGGTGGATGTGGGGTGCTAAGGGACAGGGAAGAAAAAATAAAAATAATATCTAAATATAATTTTATTAAGTTTTCTTTCAGTAGGCATGGAAAACACCAAATTCCACATAAAATGCTGGCAAGTTCATGCTTTTATCTCTAACACATCTTGAGTTATGTAACAAAACATCTCAACACTCTCTTTTACAATGATGAGTCAATGGAGACTGATGTAGGTAAATGTGATGTCATCATAAAAAGGCTAAAACAAAGAGGGCAACATAATGACAAGTGACTAGCTTCAACATGGGTTTTTATTGAAGACAGAAGATTACTTTCTGGTTCTGTTTACCTTATAATTAGCACATTTTCCACAAGCGTAAACTGCATTACACGTAACTGGCTAAAAAGGTCATTAGTGGTGAATGAACCTGACTTGTTTTGTGACAGAATATGCAAAATATTTCAATAAATAAATTGTGTGCCCTTCCACACCCCAATTGTGGGCATTTGATGACCATTTCTTGGAATAATATAGGTGTCCCTTAACACCCCACATTGGGGTGCTAAGGGACAGTGATGAAAAGAAAAATAATAAAAAATAATATGCAGGTATAAATCTTAAAAACTTTAATGTAGCAGGCATGTAAAGCACCAAATTCCACATAAAATGCTGACAATTTGATGCTTCTATCTCCAACCCTTCTTGAGTTATATAACAAAAAACCTCAAAACTGTCCCTTAACACCCCGTTTTACGGTAGTTGATGGGAGGAACGCACAATGAATGAGCCTGACCTGACACAATGACCTGATACAATGGAGTTGAATTGCAGCTGTGCATTTGATTATAATGCCTATATAACAGACTATACAGGCTTTTATAAGAGGACAAATAAATTGTCTGAAGATTGACAGGGTGAGAGCCATCCCACAGTTGCAGGCATATTGAATTGATGGATGGTTTGGAACGTAGCCTAGAGACAGACTACAAGGCATTGGAATTTTGGTGAACTGTTATTGCAGAATGCGGACTTGGACTGTCCACTCCACATAGCAGTGGATTTTATGTGGTGCAAATCCCAGGCAAAGTGAAGCATATTGAGCAGTGCTAATCCATCCACTCAATATGAAATGCTGAGGCCAGTTTAACTAACAGAAAAATAGGCCCCTGCCAAAATTTTTTGTCTTAAGACCGCTCCACATGTGGAGCATAAAGCAATAGGCACGTAAGCAGATAGGGCTTTACCGTTTATGCTCCCCATGTAAAGCGCTATTACAGCAAATAATTCCGGCAGGTGGATATTTTTCTGTTGTTAAAACTGGCCTCTTATCTAAAATTTGATATGATGCATTTTGTGTCGGTGTCTGCCGTCTGGGCAGTCAGTGTAGGCATGAACTGGAAAATTGTCTGATGTGAAACTTCAGCTTTGGCCTTTTTACTATATTGAAAATATTTAATATTATGCTGCGAGTATGTGAAAAGTACCTCAAATTTCACTTAAGCATCATCATCTTTGATATCCTTTTCCATTGAATGTCTGAGATTTAATTAAAAAAAAATAATTCATTGCCCGAATCTATGAATTACAAACTGGTATGTCACAAATGTCACAAAGCGCCAGAATCGCCAGAATGAACACTGGAAAAAAATAGTTTGAAAGAAATTGTTGTCAATACTTTCCGCGTTTTCACTCGTACCTATTCACCTGTAAGATATTATGACGACCACCAAAAGCACGATAAAAGAGCGTAATTTCCAATCAACCATCACAACAAAACAAAAACAAAAACATTCGCAGCATTTAAGGTTTGACAAATTCTACATCATTTAAGTTAAGAATACTACAAAAGTTTTTACAATTTTGATGACGTCACTGGACCGACAGTTCCGAGCTCCTTATTTTTCTACTCGTAGCAGGGCTGACGCAGGGCACAGTAAAGAGCACTGGCGGTCCCAGGGGGGGGGGGGGGGCACGGGGGCCATGGCCCCCCTTTGGTGCTGAAAGGTGGGGCCATACTATCTTTTGGCCCCACCTTTCAGATCGAACAAAAGTCCTAGAAAGCTTTTTGTATGTTTCATTTTCTTTCTCGCGCCATCAAAGGACGTAAATTTCACTCAAGGAGTGGGCTCAGTTTCGCATTCTGTCAATTTGGCGGTCAGCGTCGCTGGCACCGATTCACGAGTATGGCCGGATCTTATATGGAATATCAGCGTGGGTTTACTTGAGGCTCTCGTAGGCCAGCAATGGCTGGCATGAGACCCTCTTCGGCAGTGCCGGGTGGGCCCTGCCAAATGAGCGTGGCTCTTCGACATGCTAAAGTAAGACCTCATGGGTTGATGCTGTGCACCTCAGAAACCCGGTGGTGACGCCGTATGCTGGCTTGGTTTCTTAATTAAATTAGCGTGGGACCTCCGGGGCCTGCATAGAGTTTGCATGAGCTAGTAGGTATGCAATCTCAGAGGCCTGTGTGTAATGTGTACACAGTGGCGGTTGCGGGGGGGGGGGGACATCAGGGCCATGCCCCCCAAAGGCCAATAAAGGGGGCTATCATATCATTTGCCCCCTCAAACAACCGATGGGCCCCCATAGGTGTATGGGGCCCTGGCCCTTATTCGATCGTCACGAGGCCTAAAAAACACTCCCAGCTATCAATATAGCTCCCACACCGGTCTTTGAGTGTCCTACACTGACCTCTGAGGGAATTTCAGTGGCGGTTAAGCGCCCATGTTGGCCGCTAAGAGCCCACATCGACCTCTGAAGCCCCACATCTGGCCTATGAGGGCCCCTAACCGGCTTCAGGGGCCCCAACCGGCGTCTGAGCGTCTCACACCGGTCTCTGGTGGCCTTATTTCTGTCTCTGGCGTCCCAAGACGAACCTTTAGGTGCCAATGAGGCCCGCACTGGCTGCTAAAGACCTGATGCCGGCCTCTAAGGGCCTGCATTGGCCTCTGAGGAAGGCCCATCTTGGCCTTTGAGGGCCCTCTGCTGGCCTCTGGGGTCCAACGACGGCTCATGCCGGTCTTTTAGAGCCCCACGCTGACCTCTGAGGGCCCCATGTTGGCCTGTAATGAGTAAGGACCCGCATTAGCCTCTGAGAGCCCAACTCGGTATCTGATTGTCTCAAACTACTGGCCTTTGCAGTTTGCAGGCCCTGTACTGGTCTCTGAGGGCCTTAAACTGGCCTCTAAGTGAAAACATACATGGGTGGGCTTCTGAAGCTCAGAGGGCTTACGCAGACTCCTGCACAGCCTTACGTTGGTCCTGATCGAGATCACTTTACGTCCTGATGGTCCCGCGTAGATTCCCTCATATTTCGACGTCAGGACCCCATGAGCCGTTGTGGGTCCTGGGGCTGGCAGAGACTGATGAAGTCCTCAGGGCTCAGGGCCAGTCTTTTTAGCATGAGGACTAGGCATTTGAGTGAGCCCCAATAGAGCCGTTGCGAAGCCCGCAGGAGTCGCGCGCGGCCCTCAGATGCCAATTTTGAAAGCCAGGAACCTTTGGTCACCAGAGGTCGGTGTACCTACTCTCTCCCGCCGCCACACAACTACTCGTATATGAGTAAATGTCATAGTCTGAAAATGCTCTCTGGGTTTCACATGCTTGTTCAAAGCAAGAGGTAGGTATCTGTACTTTTCCGAATTGTTTTATAGTGGTAAGGTAAGGTCATGAATCCGCGTGCCCGACCTTCCAGTAGGGGAGAGTGGGGTAATTTGGCCGGTGGTGTAAATTGGCCGCCCCCACCTATACGAAAGCTGATAAAAGTGAATGAAATAACTTAAGTCTATTCATTTGTCATCGGCAGAACTAACTCGAGGACAAATGTCAAAACTTTCTCCCTCTTAGTTTTATTCAAAATTAATAAAACGTGAATTTCGTTAGAAAATGGTAACTTTTACTTCCGTTTAAAAATTTGTATAACATGTAGTATTTGGGCTGTAAACGAATTCCAACATTAAAGCGCCTTTCATGAAGGTGTTCAGCGGTTCCAAGAGCAATTTCATCTAGTTCTGTACAGCCATGACAACTTTATAGACTACCAATGTCAGAATGGCAATGTGGGGTTATTTGGCCGGGACTAGCGGGGCAACTTGGCCGGTGCGCTCAGAGACACTTTTCTGGGACGGCCGAGTTGTCATGGTCAATTATACCATAAAGGACATAACTCATGACCAACTTTGACTACCTTGATGCCATATTTCCTATTGGACAGCTGTAAGGGCATGTGACGTCATCAAAGGTTACCTAACGCTTTTTTTGCTAATAAATGCTTACAGAAAAAAGATACAGCCGCGCAAATGGTCTCATTGTGTTCAGCTCGTCAAGGCGGATCGAATGATATGCATGATGACCTTGAACTCACGTAACCTTGAGGTCAAGCGACCTGAGGTAACGTGACCTGAAGCCAATCTTTGACCTTGACCTCTCGAGGTCAACACATACATGTTTCGATGCGGAATGACGAGAGAATTACGATAGTACTTTTAGTTTTGGCCTAGCTTGATTACTTCAAAAGCTATTCGTAAAAAAACTGTCATCACATCTAGAGCCGCTATTTTGACTATTTTCGACCCCTGTGACGGCTGAGTCAACCTCCAAAATGCTTCAAATACGTCGTAGGACACGCGTCATTGCTGAATGTGAAGCTGACTCGCCTATAACAAAAATCATGGCCTCAAAATAACACCGGCCAAATTGCCCCACACCCCCGGTCAAATAACCCTGCTAGTGGGGCAATTTGGCCGCTTCGCAGACCTTTGTAATGCGTCACAATTTCAATATAAGTAGTTACTCTATCATTTCAAGTTTACTGTCCAGTAAAGTAAAATGTATGCCACACCTGTCAGCGTTGAGAAAATGCAGAAATGTGTTGTCAAATTTTAGTTACATCGTTTTCTAAAAAAAGCGGCCAAATTACCCCACTCTCCCCTATATACTACACCGATCCGTCGCCATGGTGCAGTGGCCCGACCGGTGGAAACACCGTGGGACGAGAAATAGTACTGGTGATTTTGCCTTAAATTGAGCTTAAAGATTCCACGCAAGAACGAGATGAATGTAGCATAAGTATGGCCAACTGCGCGGCGCCTCGCGGGCGTAAAAAATGAGCCGATCACCCTCCGGTGACGGATAAATGTTATGTCCCGCGAGTGTGAGTTTGGCCCCCCCTTTTGCTAGCGGCTGCGACCGCCAGTGGTAAAGAGTCGGCTGACGATGATTTTGAGAAACATTTACCCACCTGGCTTGGTTCAGGCTGCAGTGGGCTGAAAAATTATCTGGTTGAATTTTCTGGAATCAGGATATGCACTGTTTAGTGCTAGTGTTTCTTACCAGGAACATTTCAAGATTTTTAGGGACAGATCTTTCAGCGATGAGCGAACTATCGATTATTTTTTGCTACCTCCAAGGGCTCCAAGTCTTTTCAACTTTCAAGCTCAAGCTGCGGCGTCGTTCGTTGCATATCTAATGGTGGCCACTGGCCTCTGTCGGAAAATATCACATCCTTGTCTAGCTTTCTGGATCCATGATGAAAAGGATACAACACAAAACAAATGATTGTTAAAGGTAACGTTCGCTCACGCACTATCAGCTGACGGCACGACGACGCGCATGCGTTGTGCGCGGCGCTACCCGCCAGTCGTCGCTCGCGCCCCGAGAGCGACGGACGTGACAGCTAGCGCCATTGGCTACCCCAACCATCCTGACAGCGTCGAATCGAGTCGTGTGAAACACCTTACCCGGTTTTTACCATGGACAGCGCCGCCATCATCGCCGCACTCACAGGTATCGTGCACCGGGGAGATTCATGGCTCGGGACACTCGCCGCAGTCACAGCCAGTGACACATCGGTCCGCAGTCGCCTCAGCGGCACGCTACTGTGACTTCGGTCTATGCTACTGTGTATGTTCTGGCGCCTAATGTCACAACTAGGCTATGACCGCAGCCCCATAATGACCGACGCAGTGCCGGCCAGCCCGCGCCGGACACCCTCGCTGCAGGGTTGCATGCTTGCAATCTCGCACCGCCCGTCGCAAGGTCAGTCATTCAAACGGACTGGACACCTTCGATGCAGTCTCGCAATCATTGCATTTCAAACTGCCCGGCGCAGGGTCGGCCAGCCCGGGCCGGACACCCTCGCTGCAGTGTTGCATGTTGCGGGAGCTGAACACACTCAGACTCGATGCTTTACTGTATTATCGGCAGAGGCCCAAACAAGAACCACAGAGCCAACCGCTCGTAACCACGGTCTCCCTGCCTCTCTCGGGCCGCCGACCGCCCAGCCAGCGCCAGCCCTCGACCCCGCCCGAGGGCCACGCGGCAGGGGCGGCGCCGGGCGCGGCCAGCCGGGGAGGCGCCACGGGCGGCGCCAGGCATGCCACAACGGGCGGTCACAGCCGCCCGTAACACCCCTCCCCCCTCACGGAAACAATCATACATTGAACAATGCGACACTTACGACACGCTATTTACATTACAACTATATACACAATCACAGCCTTCACCACCTCCACCACACTCATAGTCCCGCCTGGAACCTTTCAGGTGGTCGCGACACTCGGCCTGATCTGGTCACGTATGACATTGGCGGCAACATTCCCCTCTGAGCGACGCCCACATCACCAGATGGGCCAGCTCTCCCGAGTAAGTGCATTAGCGGCACCTCGAGCAGAACGCCATGCTCGTTACCACAGTCGCTCACGGGATCCACCCCCACGGCCTCACCACGTCCATTTGGACCACTCGGATCCTGAACTGGCTGCAAGTCGGTCCGACGAGGGATGAACTCCTTGAGGTCGTTGTGGTGCACGACGCGTGTCTTGCCGCGGACGTCCTGTATCCGGTAGGTAACTTCCTCCCCCGGTGT